GGCGTCCGGGGCACCAGGAGGACAGGCAGAAGATGGGGGGATGACAGTGCCGCCCTCGCTCCGGCCATCGGAGAGCTGAGCGAGGGCCGGGACCCTGTCAGGAGGTCGGGCAGACAAGGCAGCTGTGTGCATGGGAGGGAAGCTGCTTTGTGGTTGTGTGCGGTCCCCACAGAGACAGATGGACCTTGGCTTGGGTGAGAGGTCAGGGCTCGGGTACACGCCCGGGGTCACCTGCCAGAGCCCCGGACCTGAGAGCACTGTTCAAGTTCATTCTTTGAGGGCAAAGTTGACAGCATTCTCCTCTCAACCAGCCTCTCTGCTGGGACCACCAGGCTGGGGGCTGAATGCTGGAGACAGGAGGTGTTTTATAATTCACCAGCTTACGATGACGGACACCTAATTGCTGGGAGTGGAGGGGGTGGGGAGGCTGTTGCTGAACGCCAAGGACAGGACGCGGGGTTCGGCTGATGGGCACGCGACCTTTCCCTTTGTTTCAGGCTGTTTTCTTTCCCTCTTTAACTACTCTAGGTGGGGGCAGTTGTCTTCAGAAGGGCCTGTGTTACTTGGGATTTGATCCGATGCTCAAAGATCGGTGCCTACGGAATGCTAAGGAGTTGCTCACGGAGCTGCCTGTTTGCTCATTCTGGAGCTGCAGAGCCAGGCCAGACAGACTCGACTTCTGCACCCAACCTCCAAGAAGGAAACCAAGAAGGTCCCTGGGAAACAAGGACATACAAAAGGGACACCGAGGGGCCGGCGCTGTGGCATAGCGGGTGAGGCCGCCGGCTGCAGTGCTGGCGTCCCATGTGGGTCCCGATTTGAGACCCGGCTGCTCCACTTCTGGTCCAGCTCTCAGCTATGGCCTGGGAAAGCAGAAGAAGATGGTCCAAGTCCTTGGGCGCCTGCACCCACGTGACTTTTAAATAAATAAATAAATCATAAAAAAAAAGGGACACCTAGCAAAGACTAAAGGTCGTCCACGCTAAGGATGCAAGCAGACCATGTTCATCCAAATGCAGGTGTTGACCCCACCACCACCACCAGGGGATGCTGTCAGGCGGTGGTGCACGGGGAGACGAGGCTTAGTGTCTGCAGAGGCCCGAGAGGCTCCTTGCCCCTCCTTCGGTCACGAGAGGGTGCAGTGCGAAGGGTGCCACCAGGAACCGAGAACCGGGCCCTCACTGGCTCCAGATCTGCAGGTGCTTTCAGCCTCAGAACAGGGAAAAAGAAATTCCTGTTGTTTCTAAACCACAGCTCCTGGTACTCTGTTAGAGAGCCCACACTCTTACTCACCGGAGAGGAGAGGCGGAGGGAACCCCTGGAGAATTAGCCACAGGAGGCACTCAGTGAGGAGGGCCAAAGGGAGGGGGTGTGGCTTCGGAAGAGGAGCAGGCCAGTGGGCGGGGCGGCTGTGCAGGATGCAGCAGGTGAGGGCTGGGAGGCTGGGCAGAGCTTTCCCACGCTCCTCGCTCCTCCGTGAAGAGGAAGCAGAGGAAAGTGCGGGGCACTGCGGGCCAGGGAGTGTGTCAAGACAGGGCAGAGTGGACAGAGGGCAGCTGGGAAAACTGCTTCTACTTTATTTTAAAAATCCCTCTGTTCTGGCGTACAGGTTAAGCTGCCGCCCACAGTGCTGGGATCCCATATGGGCACCAGTTGAGTTCCAGCCGCTCCACTTCTGATCCAGTTCCCTGATGATGTGCCTGGGAAAGCAGTGGAAGATGGCCCAAGTGTTTGGGCCCCTGCATCCATGTGGGAGACCTGGAAGAAGCTCCTGGCTCCAGACTGGCTCAGCTCTGGTCTTTGTGGCCGTCTGGGGAGTGAACCAGTAGATGGAAGACTCTCTCCCTCCCTCCCTCCCTCCCTCCCTCTCTCTCTCTCCTCCTCCTCCTCCCTCTCTGCCTTTCAAGTAAATAAAAAACAATCAATCTGGCCGGTGCCACGGCTCACCAGGCTAATCCTCCACCTGTGGCATCGGCACCCCGGGTTCTAGTCCCGGTTGGGGCACTGGATTCTGTCCCAGTTGCTCCTCTTCCAGTCCAGCTCTCTGCTGTGGCCTGGGAGGGCAGTGGAGGATGGCCCAGGTGCTTGGGCCCTGCACCTGCATGGGAGACCAGGAGGAGGCACCTGGCTCTGGGCTTCGGATCGGCGCAGCACCGGCCGTGGCGGCCATTTCGGGGTGAACCAACGGAAAAGACCCTTCTCTCTCTCTCTCTCACTGTCCAACTCTGCCTGTAAAAACAAAACAAAACAAAACAAAACAAATACAATCAATCTGGACCACCAACAGGCTGATGGAGACGTAGATTTTGGTATATTCATAAAACGGAAATTTGGTAGGAATTAAAAAGTAATAAACTCTTGCTATAGACACATGATTTGCATGAATTGCACAGACATAATTTTGAGCAAAAAATATAACTGTGTGTTTCCATTTATGTCAAGGTCAAAAACAGGCAAAGTGATACATAGAGACTGGAACTGCGGTCATCCGGGTGTGTAGCTGGCGTGGATGGGGAAGAAGCACAGGCAGCATTCGGCAGTGATGTTAGTGATGTCTGCTATAGAGAATTCACCAAGCTGCACACACCTGCATAACCATACACTGTGTGCCTTGGTCTTTAAAGTCTTTTTAAAAAATGGATAGGAAATAGGCACTGTCCAGTGTTATATAACAAGCTACTCAAAACTTGGTCACTTGTTTATTTATTTATTATTAATTTATTTGACAAGGTAGAGTTATAGACAGTGAGAGAGAGACAGAGACGGAATGAGGGAGCATCCAAGAATCTGTGAGGCTGGTTTAGAACCAGCTCTCCCCCCAGCCCAGGACTGAGCGGAGCAGCGTTCCCAGGGGTTTGGAGACTTGGTGGTCAGCGGCAGGGACCCCCAGATGTCTCTGCTCTAACTCCCTACATCTGTGAATGGGCAACGTCACATGGCAGGGGGCAGCAAGGTGGCTGATGAGTAACTTGAAAATATTCTGGACTATCCAGGTGAACACAGAATAATCAGAAGGGCCCTTTAATAGGAGGCAGAAGAGCCACTGGGCAAGTGATGCAGCAGCGTGCGATGGGCGCAGTGGGCCGTGGCTGGCTTTGAAGCGGGGGTGGGGTGGGGTGGCAAGCCAAGAGCCCAGTAGCAGGGGCAGCTGGGAAAGCCAAGTCAGATTCCCCTCCAGAGCCTCTGCAAGGCTGCCGCCAGAACCACACCAGTTTCAGCCCCCAGAGGCCTACTCTGGATCCATGTGGGGTTGTCTGGAGCTGCTACATTTGTGGCAATCTGTTACAGCAGCAACAAGAAACAAACACAGTCTTTGTCCACCTTTCTGGTGTTCCAGCTCCTGATCCACGCCTGCTCTCATCAGTGCTCGTGATCACTGTCCTTACTTCTATATGACCCCGATTTTTTTTTTTTTAAGATTATTTGAAAGGTAGAGTTACAGAGAAAGGGAGAGAGAGGTCTTTCACCTGCTGGTTCACTCCCCAGATGGCCGCAACGGCCGGAGCTGAGCTGATCGAAGCCAGGAGCCAGGAGCTTCTTCTAGGTCTCCCTCGTGGGTGCAGGGGCCCAAGGACTTGGGCCATCTTCTACTGCTTTCCCAGGCAATCGCAGAGAGCTGGATCAGAGGAGCAGCCAGGACTCGAACTGGCGCCCATAAGGAATGCCGGTGCTGCAGGTGGAGGCTTAGCTCAGTATACCACGGAACCAGCCCAAGGCCCCCAATTTTTTTTTTTTTTAAGATTTATTTATTTGAAAGTCAGAGTCACACAGAGAGAGAGGAGAGGCAGAGAAAGAGAGAGAGAGAGGTCTTCCATCCGCTGGTTCACTCCTCAGTTGGCCACAAAGGCTGGAGCTGCACCAATCCGAAGCCAGGAGCCAGGAGCTTCTTCTAGGTCTCCCATGTGGGTGCAGGGGCCCAAGGACTTGGGCAATCTTCCATTGCTTTCCCAGGCTACAGCAGAGAGCTGGACCAGAAGTGGAGCAGCCAGGACATGAACCAGTGCCCATATGGGATGCTGGCACTGCAGGCAGCGGCTTTACCCACTCTGCCACAGCGCCGGCCCCAGGCCCCAATTTTTACGTGCGAGTTTATCATCTCTCCTTAAAGCCCTACATTTCTTGAAGGCAAGACTTACACTGTGCTTTGGTTTGTTTTTAAAATATGTGTATGAAGCGCCAAATGTGTGGCTCATTACTATGTAGCCATTAAGAGCTTCACCACTTGCCATTAGAAGCAGCCAATTAAACAAACAGGAAACAGGAAAGGGCTGATGGGAAAGAAAATATGGGATCCCACGTGTGCCTCCTCCAGCAAACGGAAGCCTGAGAACCAGGCCACAGCTGGCAAGGTCATGAAACAAAAGGACTCTCAAAAAAGACCTAAGGCCTCTGAAGGGATGTTTTTCCTTCTGGGGCAGAGAGAGGGAGAAGAAATCTTTCAGAGCTGAGGAGAGGGGGCGTCCCCAGGGCCCAAGATGACCACCGAGCTCCCATGAGCAGCAGCAGCCTGGGTCATGCTTGGTCATCAGACCGCAGGCTGGGCAGCGCTGCTCAGCTCCGAGGCCAGAGGGTTCCCGGCACCGCGATGCTGCCTGGTCCGCCCCACGTGTCCTGCAGGGGCTGATGGCACAGAGAGCGGGTGGGCAGGGCAGTGGGAGTCTCACCTCATCCCACGTGCAGTGCAGGGGCTGAGATGGCCCAGGGAGCAGGTGGGCAGGGCAGTGGGGGTCTCGCCCAAGACCACACACACCAGTGATCATGTAACATCTCCAGGGGGCTTCCCTGTGCTGGGACTGGGACCTTTATAGAAGCAGGCAGGATGGAAGGAGGTGTAGCGGAGGAGGCGGCTTCTAGGTGGCTTGCTGTGGAATTTCCCACGAATCCATCGGGAATCAGCAAGCGGGGTAAGGGTCTGAACACGCTGAGTTAGAACCCAAAAAGCTCAAGTCTGCACCCCCGCGTTTTGGGCTGGCATTGCAAACAGTGAGGTCCTTCTCGGCTTTCTGTGAAGACCTTTAATCTGGGGTGGAGGCCTGGGCGGGGCTGGAACTGGAGAGGGCAGCAAACCCTCTCTCTGTGCAGCTCAAGGAGCGGGGAGGATGGACGGAGCTGCTGGGAGGTCCTGCGGCTGCACTAGGTCGGAAGCACCTGCTCCGTCTCGCTGAGGCTGAGGTACAGGTAAATCAGAAGGCAGCTCCAGATGCCAAGGGTGAAAAAGGTGCCCAGGCCTGGCGTGGATGTTTTCTGGTGGGTGGGGAGAAAGGCAGGAGGCTGAGGTCAAGGTCGGGTCAGCGGTGGTGGTGCCCCCGCCCCGCCGCCGGGGCCCCCACCCCGGGCAGCAGCCTTAGGCTCCTTCCTGACGCCGAGGCCTCTGCTGACGCACACGGTGCTAGGCCCTGCACACCCACGGGGCGGGGGAGGGGGAGGGCAGTAACACTCCCGCTGGGGTCACAAGGCACCCGGTTGAGGCCCAGCACTTCTCGGCTGGATCTACCTACCCCTGATTGTGGTTGGTCTTTAGGGCACACAACAGACATCCCTCCTGCAGAGGACAGAAATGGCAGAAGGAAGAAAAATCGTTTTTCCCCTGGTCCGAGATGGCCAGCCTGCTGGGCACCTCATCAGGCCTTGCCATACGAGAGGACGGATAACTCTGGGGCTTGGGAGCGGGCACGGCCAGGGTCAAGTCCTACATGGTCATGGCTTAGGAAGAGCCACAGGCCTGGAAGGCAAGGCAGGTAAGAGAGGGCTCCAGGCTGGGGGTGGTGGGTGGGGAGGTGGGGCGGCATCCGGGGGCCAGCAGCAGTGACGGCAGCCCTTGACAGTGAGAGCTCTGGGCAGCCGGGAGGGACCGGGAGACGGGCGGAGCGCGGGGCTGGGGCTGGCCGGGGCTCCACTTACACAGCAGCTCCTACACTGGTGGAGGGAAGTCAGCAGGTCCTTCTTTGGTTTCTGGGGTGCTGTGGTCTTGTGGAGAGCCAGCGATGTTCCATCGGCTCCTTCGGGTTTCTTGAGCCGGAGCTGGGGGTCTGCGTCACTCTTTCCCACCAGCCCGGGGTCTTGCTGCTCCTTGAGTCCTCGTCGAAGGGGACTGGGGGGCCGGGGAGGGGCAGAGAGTGGGGAAGACCATTTCTACCTGCACTACGGTGGCCGAGGGAGACCTTGACTCCAAGCCACAGGGGCAGGAGGAGCCAGGACAGCTCCGTGAAGAGCCCAGGCATCCTGTGAACCCTGGGGGCTTCTGGGGAGGGGGTGGGAGTGCTGGGGTGGGGGGAGACACTCACAGCTTGTTGCTCTTCTGGATGTTTATCAAAATGTCCATCTTCTCATCCATATCTTTCTGCATCTCCTTCAAGAGACAGTTTGAAACTAGAATCTTCCTGCTGAACAGCTTTTAAAGTTTTTATTTATATATTTATGCACTTGAAAGGCCAAGAGACAAGGGAGAAAGAGAGAGCATCCAACTGCTGAGAGAGAGAGATCTTCCAACTGCTGGTTCCATCCCCAAAGGACTGCAACAGCCCGTGCTGGGCCAGGCAGAAGCCCAGAATGCAATCTGGGTCTCCCACATGGGCAGCAGGGACCCACGTACTTGAGCCATCACCTGCTGCCTCCCAGGGTGAACATTAGCAGGAAGCTGGAATCAGAAGCGGAGTCAGGACTTGAACCCAGGCACTCTCGTATGGAATGTGGGCATCCCAAGCGGCATCTCATCTGCTGCATCAAATGCCCACCCTTCGAAGGGCTCTTGAAACTCCTTTCTCTCACCTCTCTCTGCAAACCACTCTGCGTCTCACTTCCCTAGAATCCTCGCTCGGCTAGGGTGAGGTGGCTAGTGGGGCATCCGTAACACGTACCCAGTCTCCCCTCCCCTTCCCCCAGTCCGTGATGAGACCAAAACACAGGCAGAGTTATTTGGTGTCTTGCCCAAAGGGTCCAGGTGTCAGAAGCCAGGGCCTGTTCTGCTAGACATCACATGTGGGATGAAACCCACAAATTTCCTTGATTAGAGGCCTACAAAATGGCAGAACCATGAAAACACATCTTGTAACCCCAATGACACTCTGACCCCAGGATTTTGACCCCTGCCAACTACCCAGGCCCTATGTCTGTGATGGCTCCCAATGCCTGTCAGAAATGGTCAACACAGAACAGAACCAACAGTAGCTCAAGCGGCACACAACATTGACCATACACTAAGAACTGAAAGATTCATAAAATCTTCTTGGCAAAATTTAGATCTCTAAAATTTGACCTAGGAAAATTGTATAGAAATAGCAAGCATGAAAAAAAAAAATTCTAGGACAGCACAAGCTGTCACTCACCCTTCTTATTATGGAACAGAAAAGATCTGAACGAATCATTGCAGGGTAGAAATGAAAACAATTTACTCCAATGAAAATTTTTATAAAAAAGGAAAGAGGTGGGGCCGGTTTCTGGGGCAACAGTTTAGGCTGCCATTTGCAATGCTGGCATCCCATATCAGAGTGCAGCTTTGAGTCCTAGATGCTCTGCTTCTGATCCAGCTCCCTGCTAATGCCCCTGGGAAAGCAGAGGAAGATGGCCCAAGTGCCTGGGTCTCTGTCACCATGTAGGAAACCCAGGTGCAGTGCCTGGCTCAACAGCAGATGGAAGATCTCCCTCTGTCTCTCTGTGACTGCCTTTCAAATAAATAAATAAACCTTAAAAAAAGTTAAAAATTTGTTAACAGTTTAATTGATCTGCTATAGAAATCTGATCAAGGAATTATCCTGTATGATTAGAAATGGTTTAGGAAAATATCTTCTTAAAAAGCATTTTTAAATGTTAGTATTGGGGCCGGCACCGTGGCGCAAGTTAATCCTCCCAAGTGCTTGGGCCCCTGCACCGCATGGGAGACCGGGAAGAAGCACCTGGCTCCTGGCTTCAGATCGGCACAGCTCTGGCCATTGTGGCCATTTAGGGGAGTGAACCAACGGAAGGAAGACCTTTCTCTCTGTCTCTCCCTCTCACTGTCTATAACTCTACCTCTCAAATTAAAAAAAAAAAAAAAAGCTAGTACAAAAAATTTTTTAAAAATTTCTATTTATTTGTTTGAGTGATGGAGAAAGAGAGTGAGTTCATTTCCCAAATGCCTAGGCCAGGCCAAAGCCAGCAGCAGGAACTCCATTCAGGCCTCCCAGTGGATGGCAGGGGCCCAGGTACTTGGACCATTGTTCTCTGCCTCCCAGGTGCATTCGCAGGGAGCTGGATGGGACGTGGAGGTGGGACTCTGGTGGGTATCCCACGCGGCAGCTTAACCTGCTCTGCCTCAGCGCCTGCCCAGTACACATTTTGAATAAAAATAGCTGTATTCATAGAATCAAAATAACCTTGAAGTCAAAATGTCTCCTGGGCTGAAAACATCAAGGTCAACATGCCCATCTCCTCACACATCTCACTGTCACTCCGGCTCAGAAGGGAGCCTGAGCCGGCTCCGTTTCCCAGCGCTCCTGGTCGTCGGCACGCCTTTGGGCAATCATCCACACTGGAACGTGACGTCTCACGGAGGCTGCCTGCAGTCCATACTCAGCCCCTCGCCGAGGACAGCTGCTGTCCTTCCAGGGCGTCTGCCCTCCTTTGCCCGCACCTGCTTCGGCTCTTTTCACCTTGAGAGCGCTCAGCCTCCTGTCTGGTTTCCTCACTGCCAGGCGGTGCTCACCTGCTCCCTGGCTAACAGCTGCCCAGCGCGCTTTCGCAAGGGCTGCTCGCAGCCTGTTTTTGGATGCAGGGTCTCCAGGGGCCTCTTCCTCTACAGAACCGAGCCTCAGCTCGCCTGCCTTCCCCGCTGCCTTTGTGCCCATTCAGTTGTGTTCCTCACAGTTCCCCAAGCGGTCCCACTCCACGGCTGATCTCCCTGCTGACTACAAAACACCACACATCCATCCTGCTTTCTGCTGGGCTCTGCTGTCCCTGGCCTGAAATAGCCTCCTTTGTTCCTCTCCAGACCCAGAGCTACCTCTGACAAAACCCCTATGCTGTTTGCATTTTAACACAGAATAATGCAAGCCCTCTGGAGAAAGTTTAGGTGATACATAAGAATATGAAAAAATTAACCGTCTCACCCAGAAATAACTGCTACTGCTACCAACCCTTTTGGTATATTTTTCTCGAGTCTTTTTTTCTATGCATTTACTTATTCGTTAAAAAAAAAAAAAAACAAACCTAGGAGCTGGTGCTGTAGCGTAGTGGGTAAAGCTGCCGCCTGCAGCGCCTGCATCCCGTATGGGCGCCAGTTCAAGTCCCAGCTGCTCCACTTCCAATCCAGCTCCCTGCTGGTGTGCCTGAGAGAGTGGTGGATGATGGCTCAAGTCCTTGGACCCCTGCACTTACATGGGATACCCGGATGAAGCTCCTTTCTCCTAGCTTGAATTCTGGGAAGTGGACTTAGTAACTGAGGAATCTAGGATATGTTTCACACCAGTTGTCTAGTGGCATCCCAGTTTTGTACAGATTTGCACTCTGTTCAGAATAGCATTCCCTGTTCTCCAAGTGTCATAAATTAAATATTTGCTTATTTCAATGCAACAATGATCTATTACTCATTTACATGCATTGGATTGTCCATGAGGTAGAAACTTTCAAATATGTTTAGTTATACCCTGTTCCGTGGGCTGTTTGTTCATGCCCTTGTCTGTTTTCCTGTCTGAATCTTGTTCATTTGTGTGAACACTGTGTGTTATGGATAAAAACCTTTCATCTATGCCTATCATAAAAACCTTTTGTCTATGCCTATCATACTTGGGGCACAAATATTTCCCCCAAACTGGTGTTTGTTTTGTAATTCTGCCTATGGCGCTTTTCTGTCATAATTTCTTTTTTTTGGGGGGGGGAGTTCATAATGTCTTAAAAATTTTATATAGTTGGGGGGGTCTTGTGGTCCAGTTTGTTAAGCTGCTGCTTGGGATGTCTGTACCTCATATCACAGTGCTGAGTTCAAGTCCTGGCTACGGTGCTTGTCCCATCCAGCTCCCTGCTAATGTGCCTGGGAAAGCAAGGGAAGATGGCCAAGTCCTTGGGCCCCTGCTCCCCACAGGAAGACCCAGATGGAGTTCGTGGCTCTTGGCTTCAATCTGGCCCACCCCTGGCTTTTGCAAGAATTTGGGGAGTGAACCAGCAGCGGATGATCTCTGTCTGCCCCTCTCTCTCTGTCACTCTGCCTTTCAAATAAAGAAATAAATCTTTTTTAAAATGTCAATCAATATTTCCTTTGTATTTGTATTCAGAACATCCAGTTATGTATTTGCTTGTTGATTTAGTTAGTTTTCAGTATTTAAATTCACTTTATAGACTATTTTAGTTGGCAGTGTTAACAGTTTTTTCATCATGTAGTCAAGCGATATTCTTATATTATTATGTAATCCTTCTCCTCTCCTTTATCTGGGCCAGCACTGTGGTGTAGCAGGCTAAGCCTCTGCCTGCAGCTCTGGCATCCCACATGGGCGCCAGTTCGTGCGTGTCCTGCCTGCTCCACTTCTGATCCAGCTCTCTACCTATGGCCTGGGAAAGCAGTAGAAGATGGCCCAAGTGCTTGGACCCCTGCAACCGTGTGGGAGACCTGAAAGAAACCCTGGCTCCTGGCTTTGGATAGGCCCAGCTCTGGCCATTGCAGCCATTTGGGGAGTGAACCAGTGGATAGAAGATCTTTCTCTTTGTCTCTCTCTGTCTGTAACTCTCTCAAATAAAAAAATCTTTTAAAATCTCCTTTATTATATTTCAAATTGTATAGGTCTATGAGTCTCCACCTTGCCTGGGAAACCTTTAAAAACTACTGGTGCCCGGACCTCATCTCGAAAGTTTCTGACGTAACTGTTATGGGGTGCAGCCTGGGTGCAGGGGGGTCAAATCACTCGGAGTGACTCCAACACGCAGCAGGGGCAGTCACTCTTCTGCAGTGTGCAGGGCCTGGTCTCTACGCAAGGGCAACACCAGAATCCTCAGGGAGTTTCAGAATCTCTGCCCCTCCCTGGAGATTCTCGTTCCTTCTCTGCGGGCAGGAGTCTGGGTACATGGATCGATCAAACCCTCACAGGTGGCAGAGGGGCTGCGGAGGGTCATCCCACTTCCTTCACTTATCTGTTTATCCCCGGGCTTGGCAGCCATGACTTCATTACGGATTTTAATGCCTGGTAAGTCTAGTGCCCCCTTACAGCTCTTGAAAAATTTGCAGGTGTAGTCGCTTTTGCCTGATGCTGTGTCTGCATCACTGGTTCTCAAACTTTCACTGGGGAACCTGACCACACTACGAGGCCTTAAGCCCCATCTGACCATGCGTCTGGGTGCTGCTGACTTTCTCTTAGCGTTCTGGGTGACTCTGGGTGGTCTTTGAGCCACAGTTTTAGAATCTAGATGATTCTGTGATTGTTTTTGGTGATTTTTCCCCAGTTAAAGGGACTCTCAGAAGATTCGGTTAGGCTTACGCTGCGCTGCTCCTGCAGGCTGAACCTAAGACTCATTTCTCTCTAAGCATCTCCGGCGGCTGCAATGCGCGCCCACGGCTCGCGCGCGACTCTAAATTCGCAATTAACGGACAGTCGACTGTTAGCTTCGGGCTGCTCCTGGCCACGTGGGGCTCCCACGCGAGTGTGCGCACCGGGAGGGCGGGTCTGGTGTCTTGGTTTCCAGCACGCCAGCCTACCACGGAAGGCACGCAGTGAACGCTCACCTTCATAATTTCCACGAATTCATGAAGTTTATCAAAGTCCTTGTCCATTATGTCCTTTATCTAAGGAGAAAGCAGGGCACAGGACAGTCACTGTGGCGTCTTGGGGATACTGCGAGCAAAAGGACAGTCACTGTGGCGTCTTAGGGATACTGCAAGCAAAAGCCCTCAGCTGCTCGTCTGGAATGGACTAAGGATGACCAGCTGCAGCCACTTTCTCCCCCACCCCACCCCCACAACCGGGGAGGCCTGGAGGGCCTAGGGCGCATGCGCCGCCCGCCGGGTCGCCTCCCGGCAGCCTCTGCGCGGCATAGGCCCGGATGTAGCAAGGCGAGGGGGCTTCATTTACACCTGCTTGCTTGGTTGCTCCTGTAGGCCATTGCCTCTCAGAACCCGGAGGGGAGTTCTTGCGCTGCACACGGCTCAGCGGAGGTGACTCGGCCCCTGACACCCGAGTCTGTCCATACCCTAAGGTCCAGGTCAGCCCCTCCGTGGGCTGTGTCGCCCCGACCTGGGCCTCCGCGGCCCACGGGGGAGACGTCACTGCCCCCGCGGCCAGGCCCCGGGGCTGAGCTGGCCGGCGGCCCTCGGCCTGCCTTTGCTGCCCCTCGCTGATCTGAGTTAGCGAGTGCTACGCGGCCCCTTTCGGTCCCGGTACCTGTTTTATCTCCTCCATTTTCTCCTTGAGTTCTTCCCTCACCTCCCTGAGTTCATTCTGAGGAGGTAAACGGGGAAGGGGGAGTGTGAGGCCGTTGCCCCGTGGGGGCAGGGGAGACTCGCGTTGGGGAGAGGGGGACGGGTGGGACCGCGGGGAAGGGGCGCCAGCCGGCCCTAGCCAGGCCTGCCAGACTCTAGTCCCAGGAGGTATCGGGGAGACCCCGGGGAGGGGCGTCCTCAGACATGCCGGTGTCCCCGGAGCAGAGGTTGGAGAGAGAGCAGAGAGGGAGCGAGGGAGGCGCCGTGGGACCTGCGCCCGCCGAGCAGGGCAGGCTTGCGTTTGCTGTAGCGGCTCAGCGGATGAGAGGGGACTGAGGGCTACAGCTTGGTGCTTGCTGTGGTTCCCCGACGTGGACCGTTGTGTCGTGCAGATGTGGGAGAATGGCCTTGCTTTAAGAAACTTTACTCTCCTATGGTTCAGAAAATGCGTGCACACGCGAGGGCACCTCCAGCCGTTCATAGAAAAAGCTAAGTTTGGGGGCTGGCGTTCAGCCTAGCGGTTCAGACGCCCGTGTCCTACTCGGAGTTCCACCCCTGGCTCGCTGCTGACTCCAGCTCCCTGCTGATGGGCACCCTGGGAGGCCTTGGGTGATGGCTCGAGTGCTTGGGTCCCTGCCGTCCATGTGAGAGACCCGGACTGGGCTCTGGGCTCCTGGCTTCCGCCTGGCCCAGCCCCTGCTGTTGCGGACATTTGAGTGAGCCAGCAAATAGGAATTCTGTGTCTCTGACTCTCAAAGTATATACATATATTTGCATATGTATACATATATATAAGTTCTTATTTTTATGTAAAAACTTTTGAAATGCATACTTTTTTCAAAATATGCTTTCCGTAAACTTTGGAAGATCCTATGTATATTTTATATGTAAATATGCGTGTGTTTCCATAGATTTTTTCCTTGTCATTAGTCCCTGAACAATGTAGTGTCACAGCCACTGCGGTAGCATTGATGTTGCATGAGGGATCATGGGTAATGCTGAGATGATGGGGAGCGTGGGGGGGGCTGGGAGGCGAGCCCACGCAAAGGCTGTGCTGTTCTCTGTGGGGGACCTGGCATGTGCAGCCATGCAGTCCTGGAACCAGCCCCCCACAGACTCCTAGTTACCCCCGAGACGTAGACGGAGGAGGGCAGAGGAAAGGAGACAGCGGTGGTGCAGTGGCGACACTGGGGAATCAGCCATCCCCTGACCCACGGCCCCTCCGCCCAGGCTCGCTTGCCCACCTTCAGCTCCCGCGTCACGCCTGTCTTGGCAAACGGCCCCTCCTGCTTCACTCCTTTGTAATCGTACCTCTGCAGACGGAAACAGAGTCACAGAATATTGGGGACTGCAGGTGGGGGGTTGGGATCACAGAGGCGGGAGGGTGGCACCGAGTTGCCATCCCTCCCCAAGGGCTGGGGGGTGGAGGTGAAGACTGAGGGCCTGCCTGTGCAGGGGGGACCCATCCTGCCCCTCCCACCGGGCAGGTCTCGGCTCATTCGGCCCCTTGAAGAGCCAGGTTCACGCCCGCCGAGGGCCTCTGTGCCTGCTGCTTCCCTTGCCTGGAAGTCCCGCCTCGGCCTTGGCCTGGCCAGCTCTCAGATCCGGTGAGGTCCTCGCTCAGCCACCCAGCCACGCCTCCCCAGTGGGATTCTCGTGTGGCAGGCCACAGTACCCAGTTCTCCTGGCCTAGTTGTGTATCTTATTGGTTACTGGCATGAGATGCCACTAGAACCAAGAGAGCCGGCCTCTCTCCCTGCGTCCCTCAGCACCTGGGACAGGTCTTGGCCACCAGGAACAGCGAATGACCCCTGACTCCAAGTCACCTCCCCACGGATCTCAGGCCTGGCTGCTGGCATGGCCTCAGAAAAGCTTCTTATTTTGGTCGGCTCTGGTTTCAATTCTAGGCAAACTGCCTTGTAGTTCTTGCTCTGTGGAGAGAGGAGGCTGGGATTCAGCTGGTCCGTGTCAGGTCGGGCAGAAGCGGGGAGTCGGCAATGGGCCTTGCGGGGGACCCCACCCAACCCTGGCCCTGGCCAGGTGCGCCGGCTCACGTGACCCAGGACTGTGCCAGGCTCGTCCCAGAGTCCTCTACTCGCGAGCACAGGCCTGCTCCCTGCTGGAGGTGCCCGGGTGCGCATGGCACGTCAAGGAGGAGCCCAGGCTGCATGCACAGCCGAGACGCGCTTCTCATCTCAGCCCGACCCCTTTACCGCCTGGCCGGTTACTTAGCCCGCTGAGCCTGGATTTCCTCATTTGTAAAACAGCTGATGAGTGGATTCCTCTAGGAAGGGTGCCCGGAGCCCTCGAGCTGCTGGCTAGACGTGGGCCTGGTGCGGGCGTGGGGGACGGGACAGTGCTCCTTGTCCCCAGAGGCAGCCGGCCAAGGCCTCTTTCTTCCCTTCCCAAGGCCAGGGAGCCCCACACCCACGGCAGGCAGAGGCCACCCTGTGCTCAGAGCAGGGGAGAGAAGCCGAGGGCCCCCGGCAGCAGCCTCTGCATCCCCCCGCCCCAGCGCCGCACAGTGGGAGCGCAAGGAGGCCCCGCAGTGCCCAGCCATGGTCCTCCTTTACCGGGCTTGTTTTCTTCAATTCTGCCCTCTTGGCCGCCATGATGGAGGAGGCCAGCGTGTTCTTCAACTTCCCGACCTCCCCACAAGGGCCCCGGGCCAGGCCACTGTCCTATGCAACTTACAGGCCCGGGTGAGGGCAGGCTGACCGCCTCTTTGTGCACGGAACAGCTGAGGTCACAATGGCCAGGACCCACATCTGGCCCAGGTGCCGTGGCCACTGGACCGAGGGGCTGGGCTGGGCAGTGAAGTCACGAGGGCCCCTCAGGAGCTTGCCTGGAAGGTCTGCCTGGCTGGGGGGCTGTGGCCCTCACCGCTGAGGCTGTCACCACTAGGACACAAGGCCTGGCTTGGGAGAATCAGGGTTCCTCCTGCCACAGGACTGACCGCCTGCTGAGGCCGGCCACTTCCCCTCCCTCCCACAAGGCTTGTGCTGGGCTCCCTCCCTCTTGCCTGATGTGCCCAGGCTCAGTGTAGGCTCACCCCACCCCCCATTCCTCTATGCTGCTGTGTGGGGGTGTGGCGCATCTGTCTCTAGGGGAGGTGATTCCTTCTTTAAAAAAAGATTTCTTTATTTATTTGAAAGGGGGACTGTTTGGGGAAAGAGAGAGAGAGAGGCAGAGAGAGAAGGTAAGATCTTTATCCACTGGTGCACTCCCCAAATGGTTACAAAAGCCAGGGCTGGACCAGGCCAAAGCCAGGAGCGAGGAGCCTCTTCGAGGGGCCCAAGCACTTGGTCCATCTTGTACTTTCTCAGGTGCATTAGGGAACTGGATCGTAAGGGGAGCAGCCGGGACTCGAACCAGTGCCCCTATGGGATATTGGCAGTGCAAGCAGCAGCTTGACCCTTTGTGCCACAACACTGGCCCCAGGGGATGGTTCTGGTCCTCCGTCCTTCTCCTGGTTCTTCTATCATCCTGGGAAAGGGTGGAGCAGGAGGCAGCATCCAGACAGTGCTAAAGGTGAGAAGCCGGTGGGGTGGGGTGGGGGAGGGGCGAATACCAAAGAACAGGCCACCGTATGGGTCAGTGTCATCTGTGCATAGTGACAGCCGGAGGTCCTGGCCCCCACAGCAGTCAGAGCGTCCGGGTTGGGGGCTTTGAGCCTCACCGCTTCCCCCGGTCACTGGAGCATTCTCGTCCTGCTTCTCTGTCCTCTCAGTGAGTGGTGGCCCCAGGCAAGGCCAAGCTGGGCATTCTGAGAGCAGCGGCAGGGGGTGCAGGAGCTGGAGGGAGGTGCGTGCCCACACCTGCAATAGCCTTCATTCACCTGCCACCTCCTGCAGCTGCTGGGGCCTGTCTTCCCGGAGCCAGGGCAGGGGGACTTCCTCTGGGGCCGAACTCGCACGCCCACCCCCACCCCTGCCCTTTTCCCTCTTGTTGCCAGCAGCCTACCAACTCCTCCTCCTGTTCCTCCAAACACATGGCTCTGGGGTGCTCCTGGGCCACGTGACAGATGCACACTTGGAGAGGAACCCTCTAGGGCCCTGGGCTTGGACTTGAAGCTGAGGAAGGGGCGTACATGACCCCATCCTCTGAGTGGCACCATGAAGGTTTCTGTCTTGGGAAAGACAACTCATTGCACTCACAGTCGAGAGCAAGCCATAGTTGTTTGCTGAATCCTCTCAATACAGTGCTGATTTCTGTGCATCTAATTAATTATTAACTGCAAAGGATCCCTTCCTTGCACCCTCACACCTCTAAAAAACCATGACGTGGGCCAGTGATGCAGTGCAGTGACTTAAGTCACTGCTTGTAACGCCAGCATCCCATATGAGCGCTTGTACGAGGCCCAGCTGCTCCACTTCCAACCATTAGCCCTGCTAACGTGCTTAAGAAAGCAATGGAAGATGGCCCAAGTACTTGGGTCCTTCCACCCACACGGGAGACCCAGCTGGAGCCCCATGTGCCTGGCTTCAGCCTGACCCAGTCCTGGCCGTTGCAGACATTTATAGCTTCCCCAGATGGCCACTAGGGCCAGGGTGGGCCAGGCCAGAGCTAGGACCTGGAGGTTCTTCCAGGTCTCCCAAGTGGGTGGCCACAACGCCGGCTCCAGTAAATATATTTTTTTTCTTTAAAAATGACAATTACAAACCCATCCAGAGAACCATGAGTCCAGGGCCTGCCTGGTTCTCAGACACAGACCTCCCTGGTGGGCCCATGCTCCCGCCAGGCTGGGTTTTTGTTGTTGTTGTTGTTGTTATTGTTTTAAGATTTATTTATTTACTTAAAAGGCTGTTATAGAGAAAGGGAGGGAGACAGTGGGGGGGGAGGGAAGAGGGGAGGGGGAGAGAGAAAGAAGAGAGAAAGAAAGGAGAAGAGATAGAAGAGAGAGAGAAGAGAGAGAGAAAGAGAGGAGAAAGAGAGATCTTACAAATGGACTCCCTAAATGGATGCGATGGCTGGGGCTGGGCTAAGCCAACGTGGGGAACTTGATCTGGTCTCCCAAGTGGGTGGCAAGCACTTGGGCCATCACCTGCTGTCTTCCCAGGCACATTAGCAGGGAGCTGGATAGGAAGAAGAGTACTGGGACTTGAGCCAGTTCTCTGATATGGGATGCCGGTGTCGTGCACGGTGGCTTGAACTTGCTGCACTAAAACGCTGGCCCCAGAAGCTGGTTCTTAGCAGGCAGGTGACTGGTGTCAGGCCCATTTTCTCAGTACTCATTGACTGAGCATTTACTGTGTGTCAAGCACTGTGTGTCGGGGCACCCAGGGCATCTGAATAATCAGGGTGTGACCCTGTCCCCAGGTGCTCACCCTAGTGGGACTGACAGTGCTGTCACGAAACAGCAAGTGCAGTGCTGGAGGTGGACCCAGGTGCTAGGGGAGCCCAGCAAGGGGCACAGCCCTGTTCGTGGATCCTGGTCTCTGCCGCGTTCCTTTGGGCTTTATTCCTGGTCTCGTGAGCTCCTCTGCACCCAGGTTCCTCCCTCAACGTGGTGCAGGAGCCGGGCTACCCACTGACCGGCAGGCTTGCCCATGCCAACCCTGCCTGGGCCCCCACTCACACCCCCTTCCCTCTCTAGCAGGACCACCCCCTCGTGCTGGCCACGAGGCGGGCAGGTGACACACCTGTCTCAGCAGGTGTGTTCATCTCTGTGTGCTCCATCTGGCTAAGCGCACTTGCACCTGACCCTGTGGCTGTGCGGCACCTGGGCCTCGAGTCTGCCCGGCTCTCAGAGCACGGAACCAGGTGTCCCCTGTGCGAGACTCATGTTGCACCCATCGGAGCCTGCAGGCAGCGCCATGCAGTCCCAGAGCCCCCGCGCCTTCCTGCCTCGGGAAGTGACGGGATATTCATGAGGGCGGCAACCCCCGAGTTTTGTACAAATCTCCCTCAGATCTCAGATCTCAGTACGCAGGGAGCTGGACGCTGGACGCCTCTCTGTACCAGCTACGTGGCCTTAGCAGGCGTCTGCGTCTCTCTGAGCTTATTCTTCCAGTCAGCAAGGGCTTCTGAATTTTGTGTCTGAGAAGTCAGTGAGGCTGAGGGTGCTCAGGGCGGGGCACATGCTCCTTGCAAACTGTGGCGCCCCAGGGGCCCGGTTTGCAGGTCAGAGCCCTGGGCAGGAAGCAGCCTGGTCCCTCCTCCGCCGCCCCTCCCCCAGGAATGGGTGGGGGTGGGAGTGGGAGTCAGGACGGGAGATTTAATAGACAGAAACACAATTGGAGCTCCCCACATTGTCTTTTATTGAAAGATTAATTTTTCTATTTTAAAGGTCGAGTCAGAGAGAGATGGAGAGACAGATCTTCCATCCATTAGTTTACTCGAAATGCCCGCAACAGCCATGGCTGGGCCAGGCTGAAGCCGGGAGCCCAGAACTCCATTCAGGTCTCCCACGCGGGTGCAGGGGCCCAGGTACTTGGGCCATCCTCCGCTGCTTTCCCAGGCGCATTAGCGGGGAGCTGGATCGGAAGGCCCCAAGGAGAGACCCAGGCTCTTCCTTTGTGTGTACGTGTGTGGGCACAACCCTGAAACAGGGAGTTTGAGCAGCTGACACAGTGGGTGCTCAGAGTCCGGTGAAGTTGATGGCCGAGGCAGTGGCTAGCAGAGCTGTCGCCCACTGTTGGTAGGCGTGGAAGGGAGCTGCAGTGAGGGGCAGCGAGAGACCACCCCCACATCCCGGGGATGGCTGAAGCTGACTCTGAGCTGAACCCTGACAAGGGCAATGCGAGGAGAGCACCCCGCCCTCCCTGCTCGCCACAGACCCCACGTACTCAGAGAGGCGGCTCCTCTTCTCCAGGTGGCCAGGCCTGAGTCCCTGGGGACAGCTCCAGGGGACTGTCGGCACGGCAAACCCAGCTCCCTGGCCCTGCGCCGCCTCCGTGCCCGCGGACCTGCCCTCCCACAGGCCACCCTTTGAACTCTCACTGTTCTGAGATGTTCCTTGGTCCACACGTGCTGATGGCCCGAGTTCCAGTCACCCCGGCTCACTCCGTGCTGAGTGTGCCCACTTGTATGCGGGGCACACGTGTGACCAAGCTTTTGCCTGGCTTTTTTTTTTGGGGGGGGGGTTCTGCCTTTTATCTCATTCACAGGCTGCAGCTAGAGAACCTGGGAGAGCAGATGGCAGCCGTTTCTTAAAAAAATTCACAGAAAAGCTGCCTGGATTTCAATTTTTTTTTTGCACCAAAAATCAACTTATCTTTTATATATATATATATATATAATATCTATATTTATTTAAGAGACAGAGCAATAGCTAGCTCCTGTTCACTGATTCACTCCCTAGATGCCCTCAGTGGCTGGGGCTGCGCCAAGGCCAAGTCCAGGAGCTGGGACCTCAACCCAGGCCTCCCCCATGAGTTACCTGAGCCATCAGAGCCGCCTCCCAGGGTCCGTGTCAGCTGAAGCTGGAGCCGGCGGTTGGCCTGAAACCCAGGTACTAGGATGCGGGACCCCCGTCTTGAAGCCTGGGGCAAATGCTCTCTCGAATCTATTTTTACAATCCAATTTTCCACACATTTTTGAGGTTCCTGTGTAGTTACCTTGTCATGTGACGCAGCGATCACTATCGTAGGCATTTACCCCTAAGAAATAAAAGCATGTGTCCACACAAAGGCTTCTTCGTGAATGTCGTAGCGACTTTACTCATAACAGCCTGCAGCTGGAAATGATGCCAAGTTCACCAGCAAGCAAATGCAAAAACAAATTGTAGGGTATTTTTTTTTTTTTTACAATGGAGTATACTTGGCAGGAAAACAGAACTCCTGATTCGTGGAACAACCTGGGGCATTTACTGAGTGAAATTCCATCCAAATGAAAGCTTAGGAAGCAAATCTACAGTGGCGGAGAGCAGGTGAGAGCTTGCCTGAGGGCGGGGTGGGGGGGGATTGACAAGGCAGGAAGGAGGGAACTTTGTGGGAGCTGGTAAACTTCTGTAACCTGATTGTGGCTGGTACATCAGGGTGCACGTTTTGCAAAACAAATCAAACTGTACACTTAAGTAGGTGCATTTTATTGTGCACAGACCTGAAACATTGACCTTGATCTAGAGATCAAGAGCTGAATATCCGTTGCATTCTGGACTGCGTGGAGTGCCTCGTATTGATGACAAAGATGATTTCATTGTATCCTCATAAAATCATGATTCAGTGACAGCTCCAGCTGGCCACGGGACTGCTCGCATTGCGCCTGCTCAGGGGCGTGGCTGGGGTTTGCGGCTACGAGGCGCATCTGCAACAAAGGCCCAGAGTGCTGTTAGCAGCTCCCTCTGCAGAAACCCCCTGGTCTGTTCCCCGGGACGCTGAGAGCTTGCTGAAGTCACAGAGCAGGTGCAGCGTCCGTGCAGGGCTGGGAGCCAAGGTGGAGATGGTGGGAAGGGAAACGCTGTGTGCTCGCTAGGGAGGGCGGCTGAGTGGAAATGGCCTTCCCACCTCGGCAAATTGGAGAAAGATACGACAGGAGGTCTCCTTATGCTCGCTTCCTGCAGCTCATGCAAAGCAAGAGTTTGTGCCTGGGTGGCTTGGGGAGCTGGCTGCTTCCTCACTCTGCAGTTCCTGGTGCAACTACGCACGCAAGCCATGTCCTGGGGAGGCACCGATGTCCCCCCGAGTCCCCGTCGTCATCCCTCTGTGTTGCTCCAGGCATCTCAAGGTCTCTGCACCAGACAGGGTACCAGGCAGGAGCAGGCATCCAACGAGAATCCTAACAGCAGATGCTGCTCCTAAGAGCCGTAGCGCCTGCCATTCACCGGAAGGCTTTGCTTTGGGCATTGGGCACAGCCCCTGCTCGCGGGCTCTCACAGGCTGCCTGCCTATCCCTGGCTTTCTGGGTCAGGACTGGCCGGTTCTCTCTGTCCCCAGAGAGTGGTCCTGAGAGGCCTTGGCACGGGAGGCTCTGCCCCGGGCCGAAACCACCGGAGCCCTCGCTGCACGAGACCCGTTTGGGCAGGCCCTTGCTGTGGAACGTCTTTGCCCTCTTCCCCTTTTGCCCATTCATTCAGAAGGGCTCTGTGCCCTTCCCTAAAGGAAAGGGGTGAGGGGTGGAAGGCAGAGAGAGCCAGAGACTTGGAGGCTTTGTTTCTTTCCCAAAGCTTGGCCTCCAGGGAATGTGTACACAGGAGGCTGGGAGAGACACAGCCAGCACGGGTGAGCGAGGTTTGGGTGCCCAGAGCAAGTGCCGTGCGCTTCATCAGGGAGCCGCTGACACGGCTGAAGCCCTCCTGCTCAGGGCTGTCACCTCCCGAGTTGCTGTCCTGCTGCCTCCTAACCACGCAGTCGCAAGCTAGTCACGTTGCTTGTGGCAGCCACAGCTCTCCGATCCCCTCCCTGCAGCCTGCACCATGGATAATGACAGATTGGGGGTGGTGGTGGCTGATTGCGGGTGTGAGGGAGGGTGGTCTAGCACAGCCTGCCTCTCAGACCCCTTCTCTTTTCTTTCCATCCTGGCGCTTGCTCCTCTGGCCCCCCAAGAGCTCAGGGGACCCCGGGCCCTGTTCTTTGCCACCCTACCTCCCCCCGGGCCAGCCCCAAGGCCCCTCTGCTCATGAGTGCCCTGGCCCATGCTGCTGTCTCCCTAAGTTGAACAAGAGCAGGGGTCTCGCCCAGGCTTTAGCCCCAGTCCCTCGCCCAGTGGCTGGCAGGCAGCCAACCTGAGTGACATTGGCTTAGTCAACACCATCATTTGGGTAGCAAAGCAGAGGGAGGAGAGAGTAGGCAAGAACTGAGCAGACCAGGTGCGGCCTCCACCAGAGCTGGGTCTGGGGCTTGTCCTGTGCTGTAGCCATGCTGCCCCGGGGGTTGCTCACTCTCTGCCTGGCAGGTAAGGCCCCGGCCTGGGGGCAGGACCAGGACTGCATGCCTCCCAGGGCTCAGGGCTGGGGGAGGGCCGTTTCCCTCCCAGGCTTCCCGATTCCAGGCTTGGACAGGAGGCCGGGAGGGAGGAAGTGGCCATTTATCAAACACCGCCCAGCGATGCCGGGGCAGGCACCTCTCCCAGTCTCTGGCTGGACTCCTCCGCCAGGGCCCTCCCTGCTTCTCCCTCCCCTCCCTCAAGTTCACGGCCCAGGGTCAGGTCCTAGGGTTCACACTTCTGTCATCTATCTTCATGGTGCAACTGACTCACCAAGACTGATTTGCTGCCAGGTAGGTACCAGTCAGAACTGGTCCCGGACCTCACCAAGTTTCGAGTTTAAAGACCCTCGGGGGGAAGATAAGCAGCAGAGCAGCTACGGAAATGACGCGAGGCGTGCAACGCAGGCAGCCACTGGGGTGTGCCCAAGGACGGCCCAGGCAAGGGGCTTTGGGGGCGGGGGGAGTGTCGCCAAGGAAGGAACAGCAGAGATGCGGCCCCAGCGGACAGGCCTGTGCAGGGACCTTTGCCTGCTGTCTGTGGGGTGCCAGCACTTGTGACAGAGACGTCCTGGGGAGCCGCTTCCTTCCACAGCTGCCTGGGGCCGCAGCCAAGCCTTGTGGCCTGACACAGAAGGAGAAGGTGAGGAGGCGAATGTCCCAGAAAATCGCCCAGGCCGCCGTGGGTGGCACACCAGACCAGTGACAAGGTGGCACCTTGGCCAGCACAGCACGGGCACAGATGGAGGAGGAAGTGCATGGGCATTCAGGGCTGGGTGGGCAGGATTTGCTGTGTGGTTGGATGACCGGAGTGAGAGAAAGAGGGGAACCCGTGTGCTGGCGGCTGGGGTCGAAGGTCAACGTATGTGTTCTGCAGGCACAGCAGGGCGCGCCGGAAGTATGGTGTTGGCGACAGGTGCAGGCTTTTCCGCACTGCCCTGGTGACCCACCGCGTCCTCACGTCACTTCAGGGGGCCACAGCCAGTCACTTAAAAATGACACAGACTAGAGTAGCAAATGCTGACCGGAATCGCATGCGGTAAGGAAGTCATTGGTTTCCTGTTCCCTTCTCTGGCGCAGGGCTCCTCCGAGGTTCCTCGATGGGCAGCTTACCAAGAGGAGCTGAGAGAAGTGAGCAGCCCCGCCCCCGCCCCCCCCCCAGGGTGCGCATTCCCCCGCCTGGGCCCCGGGGCTCCTTCCTTTGCCCTCCGTGGACCTCTGGCTTGAGGCTGCTGCCCTGCGGCGGGGAGCACTCCCCTTGTTCCTCTTCGCCTCCCCAGCCCTGGACAGCGCCAGCCGCCTCTGCTGGGGCCCCCCACGAGGGGCAGAGTGAGGGGAGGCAGGGGTGACGGCCAGATCATGGCGCTGGGCTGGGTCCTTAGCAGAAATTTCCTTCTTCCCTCCTCCTCGCTTCGTATTGAGCCCTCCGGATGTGTGAGCAAAATGAAGAAAACTGCTTAAAACCTTTTGTCTGCTTCCAAATGGCCTAGACCTAGGGCGGAGACGAGCAAAAAGGCCCTTTCCAATTCCAGCTTCCTGCTGACGCAGACCCTGGGAGGCAGCAGTGCCGGCTCAAGTCCTTGGGGCCCTGCCACCCCCGTGGGAGACCTGGGTGGAGTTCTCAGTCTCCCGGCCCTGGCCGGGCCCAGCCCTGGCTGTTGTGGACATTTGGGGAGTGAACCAGCAGATGTGAGCGCTCGCTCTCTCCTGCTCTCTTGCCCTGTCTTCCTCTCCCCCTCCCTCCCTCTCCCCCTCCCTCCCTTCCTCCTTCCCTCTCCCCCTCTCCCCCTCTCCCCCTCCCTCCCCCCCCCCTTTTCTTCCTGCCTTTCAAATAAATAAGCCTTAAAACAAGCTTGCTGCTGGTCCCAGCAACAGAGATTCAGGTCCTTGCTCGGGTGGATCTGTTTTACTGGCTGTCGTGAAACACCTCACTCGGCCTCCCAAACCTTCTGAGCCCCTACACCCAATTGCCTTCACTTGCTGTGATGTTGGGATTTTTGCCATTTAACACGCACTCCAAAAAAAGCATCAAAATTTCTTATACTCCGGGACCCCTCCTTGGGCGGGCCACATTTCCTGAAAAACCCCCGGAATAGATTTTCCCACCCTTCAAAATTCACCCCGGGTGTTCCCGTCTTTACTGCCCCCCCAGACTGGCCCATCTTAGGAGAGTCCAGCACACTTAAATACCTTACTCCCCATCGCCCGCTTTCCTTCCCCCTCATCTGGAGAGGGCGTTTTCCTCTCAGATTACTCCTTGTGGATGTTGCAGTCTGGTAGTTGAAAAAAAAAAAGTCTTTGTGTTGGATAAGGAGGAATTCTATGGCAAGGGAAACTGTGCTTCCCTGCACGCGCACAGTGAGCATGGTGCTGGCTCCCAGGGAGATCTGTGTGCATCTCCTCTCACTGCCCACCGGCTCCCAGGCAGGTCTGTGTGTGCGTCTCCTCTCGCTACCCACTGGCTCCCAGGGAGATCTGTGTGCGTCTCCTCTCGCTGCCCACCGGCTCCCAGGGAGATCTGTGTGCGTCTCCTCTCACTACCCACTGGCTCCCAGGGAGATCTGTGTGCGTCTCCTCTCGCTGCCCACCGGCTCCCAGGCAGGTCTGTGTGTGCGTCTCCTCTCGCTGCCCACCGGCTCCCAGGGAGATCTGTGTGCGTCTCCTCTCACTGCCCACTGGCTCCCAGGGAGATCTGTGTGCGTCTCCTCTCACTACCCACTGGCTCCCAGGGAGATCTGTGTGCGTCTCCTCTCGCTGCCCACCGGCTCCCAGGCAGGTCTGTGTGTGCGTCTCCTCTCGCTGCCCACCGGCTCCCAGGGAGATCTGTGTGCGTCTCCTCTCACTACCCACTGGCTCCCAGGGAGATCTGTGTGCGTCTCCTCTCGCTGCCCACCGGCTCCCAGGGAGATCTGTGTGCGTCTCCTCTCACTACCCACTGGCTCCCAGGGAGATCTGTGTGCGTCTCCTCTCGCTGCCCACCGGCTCCCAGGCAGGTCTGTGTGTGCGTCTCCTCTCACTACCCACTGGCTCCCAGGGAGATCTGTGTGCATCTCCTCTCGCTGCCCACCGGCTCCCAGGGAGATCTGTGTGCGTCTCCTCTCGCTGCCCACCGGCTCCCAGGGAGATCTGTGTGCGTCTCCTCTCACTACCCACTGGCTCCCAGGGAGATCTGTGTGCGTCTCCTCTCGCTGCCCACCGGCTCCCAGGGAGGTCTGTGTGTGCGTCTCCTCTCACTACCCACTGGCTCCCAGGGAGATCTGTGTGCGTCTCCTCTCACTACCCACCGGCTCCCAGGGAGATCTGTGTGTGCGTCTCCTCTCACTACCCACTGGCTCCCAGGGAGATCTGTGTGCGTCTCCTCTCGCTGCCCACCGGCTCCCAGGGAGGTCTGTGTGTGTGCATGTCTCATCTCACTGCCCAGTCTCTGCCTCTATCTCATTTTTCCTCACCTGGGAACGCAGTTAACAGCATCTGTTTGTCAGGGTTGTGGTGAGGAGGTAAGGGGATGGTGGGCACCCTGCATGGCCCATGGCTGGCACATCCTGGGTGCTTAGTAACAGGGAACTCAGTGTAGGGGGCAGACACGGGGCACAGTGGTTAAGCCACCTCTTGGGATGTCTGTGTGGGGCCTGGTTGAGTCCCCGCTACTCTGCCTGGGGTTCAGCTTCCTGCTCTGCACACCTGGGGAGCAGTAGCAGATGGCTCAAGTGCTAGGGCCCTGCCACCCACGTGGGACACTCAGAGGGAGTTGTGGGCTCCTGGGCTCAGCATGGCCCAGTCTTAGTCGTTGCAGGCATTTGAAGAGATGGAAAATCGGTCTCCCCCTGTTGCTGTGGATTCGTTCTGAGAGGAGGAGCGTGGTGGGGGCAAGAGGCGCGGAGTCACCACACAGACCCCGGGAGTCTGCAGGCCCTCTCAGAACGAATCCACAGCACCATCCCCCCTTTTAAATAAATAAATAAATAACCAAAGTATCAGTTTAGATAGGGAAAACCTTAGGCAAATCTTGGTGGGCTCAGGGGAACAGGCCTGGTCAGAGAAGGGAGCCCTGTGTGAACCTGATGTTGTGTCTTCCGGCCCTGCAAACACAAGTGTTTCCTTTACCGGGTCTCCGGAACCGACTCCCTGGGCCAAGCCCAGGCACTGGCTGCCTTTCCCAGCCGTCCTTGGGTGGAGCCACCAGTGAGTGCGTGGCCTATGTGCTGCAGAGTGGGCAGGTTTGGGGGCCCTGGCTCAGTCCAGTTTGCAGTTTGGGCAGGGCCTGGAGGTGGCGGCTGTGAGCGGCTGGTCTCTTCGTCCGGGTTGGCAGGGCCGCTGTGCCTCCTGTCTGCCAGGTCAGTCCGACGCTGGCTCCCTGACCCTGTGAGCCTAGGGACATCACGTGCCTCAGCCCTGGAGCCTCCTGAGAGTCCACAGGGCAGCACAGACCGAGCACAGGGCAGCGCCACTGAGCCAGAGCTGCCCCACCTCCCTCCACGCCTCCCCCCACATCCTGCCTGCCACGCCACTCAGTGCTTGCTGTCTGCGTGCCGTGTGCCAAAGCCAGTTACAGACGTGGCTTCGTGTGTCCTGGCCCCAGGAACCAGTACTGGATAAAGAAATGGAGACTTATAAGGCCACATAGCCACAGAAGGGCTTTTTTTTTTTTTTTTTTTTAAGATTTTTATTTACTTATTTGAAAGGCAGAGTTACAGAGAGGCAGAGAGAGAGAGAAAGACCGACAGGGAGACAGAGGAAGACACACAGAGGACCTCCATCCGCTGGTTCACTCCCCAAATGGCCACAGCGGCTGGATCTGGGCCAATCCAGAGCCAGGGGCTTCTTCCAGGTTTCCCAGGCAGGTGCAGGGGCCCGCGGACTTGGGCCATCACAAGAAGTGCTCTTGACCCTGGCCTTCCTTCTTGCTTTGGGCTTCCTGCTGCCCTGATGATGCATCTATCTTCCCAGCCTGGTACAGGGTGGTTTTCGTCAAAAATTACCCCCGGGGGCTGGGGACAAGGGCTCTGTGCAGCGGGCAGCAGGGGCTGGGCTCCCGGACGTCCAGGGCCTGAATGCGTGCTCTCTGTGTTCTTTGCTCGCAGTGATAATTAAGATCGGTAGCCAGACCTTCATGAGATTCGAAGACGTGCTGACGTGGTCATCGGCCCGGCACTACTGCCGCCAGTACCACACGGACCTGGCCAACCTGCAGGCGGTGGCCGACGGCGAGGACCTGAAGCCCATCACTCGTGAGACGGAAGCCTGGATCGGCCTCTACTACAACGCTAGCAGCAGCTCCACGAGCTGGGCCGGAAGCCAGAACGACAGCATGCCCCGGTGGATGGAGGTGCCCATGCTGAGCGGGGGCCAGTGCGCCGGGCTCCGCGCCTTCTTCTCCTACGCCCCTCGCGTTTCCGCCATGAACTGCTCCTCACCGCAGCCCTTCATCTGCTTCTACGGTGCGTGCCCGCCGGGCCCTGCTGCCCCCGCCCGCCCAGGGTAGGCCGTGGGGAAGGGGCTTCCCGGGAAGGGGGAGACGTCGGGCTAGATCTGCAGGGGCACATGGAGGCTCCGAGGCTGACGGGATTCCGTCGCTCCTGGGGATCTCTAAAGAACAGACCGGGCTGGGGCATTAGCGATGAATTAGCGGACAGGGGAGCGATGAAGTGCATGGGCCCTGGAATCAGACAGCTGACCATTTTCAGGGTTTTTTTGTTTTTTTTTTTGTTTTTTTTTTTTTAAGATTTTATTTATTTGAGAGGCAGAGTTAGAGAGAGAGGGAGAGACAGAGAGGTCTTCCGTCCACTGGCGTGCGTTGGCCTGTTCTTTGGATTCAACGAGACCAATGATCCTCGTCGGCACAATCAGACCGACTGTTCCTCCCTTTAGCTGTTGTGAGGGCAGAGAGGGGGAAAGCACCCGCCCCGGTGACTGACAGCTGCTGGGTGTGGCTTCTGCGGTCCGTGCTGGGCGTCCTGGCATTCCGGGCGGCCCCGCATGCTCACTCTTGGCACGTCCCGGCAGACACCTCCATTGGACCCCAGGCTCCCTCCCCAGGAGTTGCCGCGGGGACCACATCCGGGACGAGTCCAGGTACGCTGGCCCGCTGTGGCTGGTCGGGGGCTCCCGGGTGCGCCCACTGGACCTCCCCACAAGGGCCCGGAGAAGGCTCGGCCAGCTGGGCAGGACTTGGGCCGCTTGTGCAGAGCAGGGCCTCCCAGGAGAGGGTGCCGGGGGCTGGGCCTGGGAGACAGGAGGGGCACGTGGTGGAGAGGGTCCTGTGGAAACGCCACCGGAAAGGCCTCAGAAGGAAGCGCAGCAAATGCCGATTTATCTGAAAGAGAGATCGCCCATCCACTGGCTCACTCCCCAGATAGCTGAGGCCAGGCCCAAGCCAGGGGCCAGGAGCTGCTTCTGGGTCTCCCACGTGGGTGCAGGGGCCCAAGCACTTTGGCCATCTTCCGCTGTTTTCCCAGGCACATTCGCAGGGAGTTGGATCAGAAGTGGAGCAGCCGGGACTCGAACCGGCGCCCACATGGGATGCTGGTGCTGCAGTGCCTAGCTTAAACCACTGCACCACAGCGCCAGCCGCAGGCAAAGCCGCTTCTACAGGCGGGCTCCTCTGTGGGAGAAGGTGAGGTTGAGCTGCCGGGAGTGACAGTGCTGGTGTTCCTGCGGCGTTTGCACACCCCGAAACAGCTCTACGGCTCTTCGTTCTGTTTGCTAGGGGAGTTTGAAGCCAGCTGGGCAGGGCACACTCCCCTGGGCTCCTCACAGCGCCCCCTGCAGGGCAGCGCCACTAGCGCCTTGTGTGAGGACACAGAGTAGTCAGGGGACCGGATCATGTGGGAACAGGGCTGCCTTCACTCACGGGCCAGGAGTCCCCATGCTAGCCGGGGCTCGGTCAGTCAGGACCCCCGACACCGAGCAGGGTGTCCCAGCCCCGTGGTTACCAAGAAGAGGGTGGGAGGTCCACTTCGCAGGTGAGGAGGAGGTGTGGGCAGAGCGGAGGCGGGGCTGGGCACCTGCAACTGGAGAGATGGGAGGTGTGGGTGGCACTGGGCACCCCCCGGCCCCGGCCGATTCTGGAGAGCCGCCTGGAACCGCGGCCCTACACACACCTTCTCTCCTGCCCTAGGGCTCAGCACCAGCCTCACGGGCGCCGCACCCGACCCGGCGTCCACCACCAGGCTCCCGCCGCCAGTGAGCCCCGGGCCCACGGAGCTCTGCCTTGGCGCCCCGCACCTCTGCTCTTCTGCTCCCCAGCCCCAAGGGGTCACCCCGTCGGACTTGCCTGCCGACTCCGCATCCCCAGGGAGTACCTCGTCCGTTCCCGAGGGCGTGCCCGGGACCCCGCCAACCACTGCCCAGGGCACAGCCCTACATCTCACTGTCTCAGATGGGACCCCAGTTCCCGGGGTAGGGCCGGGTACCTGGCAGGTCCCTGTCCAGGGCACACCCCTAGATCACACAGCTTATCCGGGTGGGACCTCAGTTCTTGGGGTAGGGCCTGGTACCCAGCAGGTCTCTGTCCAGGGCACACCCCTAGATCGCACAGCTTATCCGGGTGGGACCCCAGTTCCCGGGGTAGGGCTGGGTACCCGGCAGGTCCCTGTCCAGGGCACACCCCTAGATCGCGCAGCTTATCCGGGTGGGACCCCAGTTCTCAGCAAAGGGCCCAGGACCCGCCAGCTACTGCCCAGGGCACTTTCCTAATCTCCAGGCCCCGGGTGGGACCTCGGTTCCCGGGGTAGGACCCAGGGCCTGGCAGGTCCCTAGATGGGTGCCTTGGCGTCCCCACTAGTCCTGTGCCTGTAGTCTAGTCTACTAGTCCTATGCCTGAGGGGGTGTCCCTGTCCCCCGTGAAGGGACTGGGACCCCTGTGGCCTCAGCTCTGAGCTCTGCTTCTGACTCACTGTCCAGGGCGGCGTGACTCGGTGGCCATCAGCAGCGAGCCCCTCACTCGGCTCCACCGGCCAGGCTTCAGCTACTTCCGGGACGGCGGCGCCCGGTGGGTCCTCTGCATCCAGCTGGTCCCGTGGTGCTGAGACTCCGGGCGGCTCTCCGGGGCAGGAAGAGAGCGTGGCGGCGTCGCCCAGGTCGGGGAAGCCAGCTGTGGCCCAGGGAACCACTGCGCCGCCTGTGTCCACAGCCCAGAGCCAGGCTGCAGCTCGGGAGAGCAATGCAACAGGTGCCCGCGGGGTGGCTGTGGGCCGAGGAATCGAACCCCGGGGGGCTCCGACACCCAATTCCCTCCTTGGCTTCCACCTCTAGACAACAAGCAGCGGTGTGTGCCGGGCAGTAGTGTCCCCAGTCACTCTCCAGACGATCCCACGGCCACAGTCATGGCCCTCCCGTCCTCCCTGTATAACCCTGAGGACGGAGAAGGGGCTGGGAGGGGGAGAGCGGGTGTGCTAAGAGCTGTCTCCCAGGCAGGGGTGGGGACGTTGGCTGTGCTACTTACTGTGTGGCCGGAGGCAGGTTCCCTGACCTCTCTGAACCTCTTTCCCCCCATCTCTAATGAAGCACTATCATCGTAAGGTAGCAGCTACCAGTCAGCGGTGGGTCCGCTGTTCTAGTGTCAGCTCCCTGTGCGAGTGGCGGTGACCATTCCTGTTCTCACCGCTCGGTCCGGGGGTGGCCTTATTCTCAGCTGATGAGTTTCACATGGTGATGAGAGAGCCCAGTGCTGGGTCACAGACACTGCAGACTCCCACAGGGACTGTGTGACACTATTTCTCTCTCCCGGGCCTGCGATGGTGCTTTGCATCTTGGTGTATGACTTAATTAAGTCATTTCCTCAGCGCCTGTTTTAAATACGACATTGAATTATGCGTATCAAGATGAGCAAGACTTGCTTCCTGTTTTTTTTTTTTTTTTAATATTTTTCTCTGTGGGTGGGGGGGTGGGGACTTTCTGTCTGTTGGTTCACTCCTGGCCAGAGCTGGGCCAGGCTGAAGCCAGGAGCAAGGAGCTCCATCCGGGTCTCCCATGTGGATCACAGGGGCCCAAGCACTTGGGCCATCTCTGCTTTCCCAGGTGCATTAGCAGGGAGCTGGATCAGGAACACAGCAGGGGCCAGCGCTGTGGTGTAGAAGGCTAAGCCTCTGCCTGCAGTGCGGCATCCCATATGGGCGCCGGTTTGAGTCCCAGGTGCTCCACTTCCCATCCAGCTCTCTGCTATGGCCTGGGAAAGCAGCGGGAGATGGCCCAAGTCCTTGGGCCCTGCACCCACGTAGGAGACCCAGAAGAAGCTCCTGGATCCTGGCTTCAGCCTGGCCCAGCTCTGGCCTTTGCGGCCATCTGGAGAGTGAAACAGTGGATGGAAAACTTTTCCCTCTATCTGTCCCTCTGTCTCAAATAAATAATCTTACAAAAAAAAAAAAAAAAAAGAGAGAGAGAAAGAGAGAGAATGTGGAGAGAATGATGATCTTGGGCACATGGTGTGGGTGGTGTGGGCACTGGCTCCACCATTCTGGTGTTGATGTGTGCGTGGCTTTTCCCTACTGAAGGTCCTTGATTGGAGATGAGTTACTAAGAGCACAAGGTATACACTGCTCTAGGCATCCTGCACACCCAGGGTCGGTCATTGAGGTACTGTTTATTACAGTGACTGCCTGGAGGCAGTCTGATGCCCCCGAGAACAGATTGGCTAAGTAGCTCAGGGCATTCAATGAAATATGCTGCCTTTAGAAGGAATAAGGTGGCTTTTCATGTGTTCAAAAAAAAAAAAAAAAAATTCAAGTGGGTGAAGGATCTTCTCCAGCCATCTGTTAATAGCGGTTGACCCTGGGCTGGGTGCTGGGATATTTTGGGGTCAGTATTTCATAATAATAAACCACAGAAGTTTACAATGGTGATTTCTATATTAAAAATAAAGAACTGGCAGGGCACTGAGGGGACCTGGGTGACTGAACGTGAGAGCAGGTGAGGACACGGCCAGCCTGCCAGGGCCGGAGGTCGCTGGCGGGGAGAGGCTGGGTGGAGGTGTGACGGGCCCTGCGTGCCGTGGGGGAGCCTCCGCACAGCTGGTGGGTGACGTGAGGGCACTGGGCCTCTTGGGGTGTGGCCTGCTGCAAGGTGCTGATGCAGCCACTCGGGCTGGTACACACGCCTGTGGAGGTGAGGCGGGGTTGGCGAGGTTTCCCGCGGCGGCCGCGTGCGTGGCGGTGGCTGCCCGGCCCACGCTGGGGCAGCCGCCGGTATCAGGCGTTCTTCCCGCCTGGCCACACTGACAGTGACTCCTTTATTTCTCCACGTGTAGCTGTGGTCAGCACAGAGGACGGCACTGACGTGAGACCCACAGCTGCTGGCACTCGGGCCCAGCGTCTCGCCACCAGCGCATGGACCCGCACGGAGACTGGAGGGAAAGCAGGTAGCTCCCTGGCTCACCGAGTTCCCACGCTAACAGCTCAGCAGGGCGGTGGGGCAATGGCCCCTGAGCCCAGGGCGCGGACAGACAGCAGGAGATGCTGGGGGCGGGGCGGGGTGAAGGTGTGGGTCCCAGCTGCAGCTCTGCGCACAGCTTCCTCGGCCGCGCCGCCATCTGCAGGGGGGGACAGCAGGCACTCCCGCCTCCCCCAGCCTCGTGCCCGGAGGGGCGCTCTGTGAGCACCGGGAGTGTTGGAAGCAGAGGGGTCCCACTGCGGGACGGCTGACGGGCCCTCCTCACAGACCCCAGCGCTTTCGGGACTGGAGAACAGAACACGGCTGCCTGGCGGGTGGGAGAGCCAGCACGGCCCCAGGGCGGGAGGCGCCGCTCCCTGCAGCCGCTCCCTGCCGGTTCCCCTTGTGGCTGAGCCCCTCTCGGCCCATCCTCCCATCTGAAGCACCAGATCCAGGCAGCACCCCTGGCGGCCCCGCCCCCGTGACTGCTAGAGGCTGGGGTTTCCCAGTGATGATGGGACCCTTCCTGCCCGAGCTGCCCAACTTTCCCTGCTTCAGGGCACGCCTTTGGGATCCTGAAGGCAGACTTTGTCGTCTCATCTCTGAAGAACCCGGAGGAGATGAGAGACCAGTTTCTGAGCGAGGTGAGACTCGGCCCACGTTTAACCGTGACTTGACAAGGCCAGGCAGTGCGCTGAGATCCGTACATGCAGAGAGAACGCTCTGGAAAGCAGCCAGGTGTGTTCCCAGGGCCGTCAGTTTGGCCCTGGTGACGGGCGGTGGTTGTGTGCCAGGGCTTCCTTGGCCCCCTCCCCAGCATTTTCTCGGAAGCTGTCTGTTTGAATCAAGACAGCGCAGTCGGGGGACCCGCGTCTGGGTCTTGGCTTGCAGTTAGTCACTGTGTGACCTTCAACAAGCAACTCTGTGCGTCCCAGGAGCACTCGGCTCACCTGGGGGTGCTGTGGGGAAGTGACCTCCCACAGAGAGCTCAGAAAACTGGCGCACAGTAGGCACCCTGCACACAGCCTGGCAGGGTCGCTACCAGCACTGTTACAGCATCCGATACACATTTGTGGCGGAGTATTTTTTCAGTTCTTTTAAAGTAGTATGGGATAGGAGACTGTGGCATCGGACTGTTCCTAAGTACAGAGATGGGGATTAGGGAGCTTCTGGCTCATCTTGCTAATGACAGAACAAGAGAAAATGACACAGCTCAGCATCCGATGGATTTCTTAGCAAAATTTTACAAAGGTTTACAAAAGTTAAGGGTCTGTGTGTTATTTATTTATTTATTTTTGGTTGGGGGTGGGTAGGTGTGAGGGAAGACAAAGGAATTGCGACTTCTCTAGTTAGTTGATTCCTTAAAATCAGATGTCCTGTGTGTGGTCCTGGTTGAAGTCCTTCAGCACTCTTTGGGGGTGTACTTATTAAAGCTGCCTTCTATTTTTAAATTGGAGCCAACAGGAAAACTGGGGTTAAAATGGAGGATTCTATCTTTTGGTCAGCTTTTTGGAATACATCAGTTTCACAAATGGGATGGCCATGTTAATGCGAAGACTTTCTGTTGTCACGGATTTAAAAGATGAAATTGGTGGAGACAAGGGGTGTGTGTGGGGGGGAGGTGGAATAGATATTATCAATTTTAGCATCATTTTAAATTCCACATAGAGAGCCAGCAAACAGTGGTAGCCAGCGCGTCCCAGTGTCGGGAATGGGGACAGGAAACACAGTGCTCAGAGCTGGGCTTGGACTTGTCCTTTACTCTGGCTGGAGTTAGAACCCTCGGAGCAGGTTCAAGATGCCTGGGCCCAGTCCTTACAGAGGTTCTGTTTCATTGCTGAGTGGTGGGGCTCAGGAGGAAGCCCAACTCTTTAAAAGTCTTTCTAAAATTAATTAATTTATTTGAAGGACAAAGTGGTAGGGGAGGGAGGGATGGAGAGAAAGAGACTGAGGGGGGTGGTGAGAGAGAGAGAGAGAGATCCATCTTCCAACTGCTGGTTCATTCCCAAACAGCCAAGTAGCGGGGACTAGGCCGGGCTGAAGCCGGGAGACAGGAACGCCATCTGGGTCTCCCACGTGGGTGCAGGGGCCCGAGCACCTGGGCCGTCCTCTGCTGCTTTCCCAGCTGCATTAGCGGGGAGCTGGATCGGAAGCGGAGCAGCTGGACGTGAACAGGCACTCGGGTCTGGGATGTCCACGGTGCTAAGTGCTGTCCTCTCCTCTCCACCCCAACACACTTTTGGAAAAACCCAGTGATTCCGATTAACGGTCAGGATTGAGAGCCACTGACTTAGTCATTTGTTTCAGTTTCTGTTGTCATTAAATTTCCTTTTTTTTTTTTTTTGCTCATAAAACTGATGTATATAAGCCGGCGCTGCGGCTCAGTAGGCTAATCCTCCGCCTTGTGGCGCTGGCACACCTGGTTCTAGTCCCGGTCGGGGCGCCGGATTCTGTCCTGGTTGCCCCTCTTCCAGGCCAGCTCTCTGCTGTGGCCAGGGAGTGCAGTGGAGGATGACCCAAGTGCTTGGGCCCTGCACCCCATGGGAGACCAGGAGAAGTACCTGGCTCCTGCCATCGGATCAGCGCGGTGCGCCGGCTGCAGCGGCCATTGGAGGGTGAACCAATGGCAAAAGGAAGACCTTTCTCTCTGTCTCTCTCTCTCTCACTGTCCACTCTGCCTGTCAAATAAATAAATAAAGATTTAAAAAAAATGCATACTTTAAAAAAAATGATGTATATAATTTCCCATTGGTGAAAAGTGCTAATGACAAAAGGCAGACAGCTGGAGAGAGGCTGAAAACACAAATACCTCAGGACTGGGGACCCACAGGCTCCCAAGGTGGCACCAGCAGGCTTTCTCTTTCTGCTGTTTCAGATCCAGGCAGTCTTGAAGCGTGCATTAGGCCACACGCGGTTCAGCCTGAAATGGGTCGGCTCTGAAGCGAATGGAAGATAGCACCGGCTGCCCCCTGCACTTTCCCTTCCACACAGTCGGCTCTGGATTCGTAGTGAATTCTAGTTTTTTTTTTTTTTTTTAATTGATTTTTATTGATTTGAGAGAGACGGAGAGGGAGGAAGGCAGGGAGTGAGCTCCCATCTGCTGGTTCCTCCCCAGATGCCTGGAAGACTCTGTCCAGGTGTTCTTCAGGGGTGGCGGGGACCTGGGTACTTGGGGCCATCACCGCTGCCTGCCCAGGGTGTGCTTGAGCAGGAAGCTGGAGTCTGGAGGGGAAGCAGGACCAAAATCCGGGCATGCCAGGACGGGTGTGGGCTTCCCAGGTGGCCCCTTAGCTTCACCAGCCGCCTGCCCCACATGCCAGTTGTTAAGTGCCTCGTGGACAGGGATTAGAAATAACTGGAGATATGCAAGAGGCACAGGCCTGCAGCTGGCACAGAGGAAAATTCCACATGAAACCTGCACCCCGGCTCCGGGAGAACGGAACGGGTAAGGCGAAGATGGGATACGTGGAGCAGCAAACCTTCAGAACGTTCAACCACCAAGAACAAAACATCGGAACCAAACAAGGGAAATCCTGAAAAGGAACCCCGTTAGCCCGTGGGGGACTGAGGGCGGGCAGAAGTGGTCTGGGTGGCTACACGGGGCCACACTTTGCATCCGACCCAAGGAGGCTGCCTCCCAGCCGCACAGCACGAGGCGCTCTGCCGCCACCGTCCCAGCTTGTGTGTCCCACAGCTGTTGTTTGACCTGGAAGTCGGGACGTTCTGAGACGCGCGGTTCAGAGCGACTGTTCCTGCATACGTTTTCTTTCTTGTTTTCTAGGAGTGCACCTAGCGCCCAGGGGCCCGCTGAAAGTAAGGCAGTAACACATCAAGTACAGCAGCAACTTGAGCCTGAAATGCTTAAAGTTAAAGTTTATTTGTAGTCTTTGTAGGAATATCAATAAAAGACCTCAAACGTATCTATATCTGTACATGTACAAGAACCGTCAAAAATTATTCACAGAACAAAAATAAATCTTCTTTAGAACAAACCCAGGTAATGAAATGCAGGTATGGATCTCACATATGGAACAATCTACGTGCTACTAGCACAAAAATATGGCTTTAAAAATAAAAACCAAATCTTGGGTTTTGTTTTTCTAAGGTGTATCTCTCTCTTGAAATAAAAAATAAATTATTTAGAGCTATCATTGTAAAATAGTCATGTGTATTAACACACTCTTGTTAAGGCCCTGGGGATGAAAAAACAAAATCAGGCTTAGAAGGTAAATTCGTCCTGGGAGTGACTCGGGTTAAGGTGCTGCTGTCCGCGTGAGCTGAGTTCTCGTGTGACTAAGAAATGTCTAAGCACCAGGCAAGATTTAACCTTTACTAATCTCAACTTTTTTGCAGGGTAGTGGTGACTGTGACAATTAGTATTTCCTCTGCTGGGGGAGTGGGACTGAAATTCTCCCACTGGGAGTTTGGATGTGACATAAAGAGGATGCGTGTACGCACATAAATTTTGCAGCCCCATCACGCAGATGATGGACGTCCCCACAGCACAGCTTCTGTGGAAGTGTCTCTGTACCAACAGAATAAATCTGGTTTTAAGTCCCACACCAAGCAGTTGCTGAGGGAAAACTGAGGGCGTCTGAGAGAACAGCCCGGTGGGACGCGGAAAGGCACGCGGAAGCACGGGCAAACACGACCTCTGCCCGGCGGCTCACTGCCTTTGCCGAGTCTTGCTTAGTGGGTTACGCGGACACCTGAGGATGAACTGATCAGGAGCCAAAGCCGCTTCTCTCTGAATCCTACTGGCAGACCAGTGACGTTCAACTTCCTATGACTCCCTCTGGCATCAATAAAGACATCTAGAGTTCTTCAAATTCAAACCCAATCAACTCAAAGTCATTTTAACTTATATATACATATAACACATATAGTACACTGTCAAGAGGATAGGATGAGCGCAGCAAATCTGAAACACACTCAGGAGAGTTTGGGAGCCACTGCTTGTGAACTGAGCTGGGTTAACATTCAGCAAACAGAAGCCCTAGGCATGGTGTGTTTCGTGTGAGGACGCACGTGTCTACAAAAACCACCCTGCCGCACATCTGTGTATTTTAGGCGTGGGCAAAGGATACAAATCCTCCCGTGTCCTCGAACCTCTGAGCTGCCCAGAAGACTTCACGCCTCAGTCTCCTGGGTCACCCATCTCCTTCGGGTCCTTTCACTGCTCCTAAGGTAGCACCTAGTCCATCTCATGCAAATTACATCACTTTTGTCTTTCTCAAACTCCGAGAGCGTTAATCACTAGGCCGTGACCACAAGCGAATGCTTCTAGAACGAGAAACAACCATTCAAACGAGATTCTATGTAAAATTCAGCACCCCAGTGATTCTTGCGTTTAAGAAATTAGCTAAGTCCTTTCTACCGACATTGATGAAAAACAGAGTCTCCCACATTTTTGGCTTCCAGGTAAGGGGTGGGAAAGCCACTACTTATTGCTGGGGGCAAGCAGAGAATTTCGTTATGAGACTTGAAAAGGGAAGAGGGATGGAGAAGGAGGCCCTTTGGCTTCCCACTATTTGAAGGAGAAGGGGCCTGCAAAGGTGAGACTCAAAATGCAGGGGAGGTCATGGCCTCCGGAGCTGCTGGAGCTGCCCAGTGAGAAAGCCCGTCTGGTGGCGGGCTTGTGACGATGGCGTGACAGATGAGACGGAGGGAATCCCGAGAGGATCCCTTCCCCCAGCTCAGTGCCATCACTGCCTGGCTTATCAGAAACTCAGCCTTGCGGGAAACCCAACAACAAATGCAAACTCACTGGACGGCGGCTGTCTTGCTCTGGTACTTCCAGAAAAGAATTCTGCTCCCAAATCCAGTGTACCCTGGAAGGCAGAGTGAAAGCCAAGGGTCCATAGAGGCACAGATCCAGAAACAAAAGCCACACACTGACATCCAAAGTCAGCCTCATTCTCCAGGGCGCACAGTCAATGCTCACAGTATTCTGAGACAGGAAATCTTTCTGCTGCTGCCTACCGCCATCACGGAGAAAGGGAGGACGTCAGAGAAAGCGGATTCCAACTGGAGACTAAATGAACAACAGTAACAAAAGGCAAAGGGCTGTAGCGGCATGATTCCCTCGCTTTCCCGGATCTGGACAGGCTGCCCGCCTTGGACAGATGGCTTGCTTGGTGCCTGCTACAGTAGTTACCCGGTGATCTGCTCTCTGTCATGGCCTTGACTGCTGGGACTCGGGGAACACGATGACCCGACGGAAACAAAATGCTTTCACAGCTTCAGCTCAGACAGCTTATCGCTCAGGGGTGTGAAAGGGGAGCAGGGACCTCTGTCTTCTGAGTCCTAGGAATAACTCCCTGTTCACGGCCAAGTGTGCTTGTCGGCTAGACACTCTGCAAGCGCTTCACCTTAACTTCAGATGTCTGTGCAACCCTGCTCCTGTGCTGCACCCCGTGAGATGGTGACGTTCTGAGGGAGGCGTGAAATGTCAGGCATGGCCCCTCACCTAACCGTGTGCCTCCTCCCCGTAAAGCAAAGGGCTGTGCCTATTTGGGCTGAAGAAAGGCCAAGTAAGCAACGCCCCTGTGAAAATCATTACCTGTTGCTGCTTTTTAAAAAGATGTATTTATTTGAAAGGCAGAGTTACAGAGAGAAAGAGGGGACAGAGTGAGCCTCATCTGCTGGTTCACCCCCCAAATGGTTGCAATGGCCAGGGCTGGGCCAGGCCAAGGCTAGGAGCCAGGAGCCTCATCCAGATCTCCCACATGGGTGCAGGGACCCAAGCACTCGGGCCATCTTCTACTGCTTCCCCAGGTGCATTAGCAGGGAGCTGGCTCGGAAGTGGAGCAGCCGAGACTTGGACTGGTGCCCATGTGGCGCCGGTGTCACAGGCTGCAGCTTAACCTGCCGCGTCACAATGCCACCCCGCCTGTTGCTGCCTTCTTCCATTCTCTAAGGATATACTCAGAAAAATGTTTGGGAAGGAGCAGGCTCAAAGGATAATCTAAAATTTAATGTCTGGTAATAGCTTCGAACTTTCTGCTTACTTCCAACCGTCTTATGTTTTTATTCTTTTCTTCATTCAAGATTAGCCTGATGGTAGAGGGCTACACCACCTGCATGAATGTTCGGGGTGCCTGATCTTCCAATGTGGACCACTCCACAGAGCTCTCACAACACTAACAGAGACGCGTTGCATCCGTCAGAAACAGAGCTGCTGTTCTGTGTCTCCGCTCAGTCCCCAGCACGGGTGAGTCCATCAGCCCTCTGTAATGCGTACCAACGCCCGAGACTTCCACAGCCTCCATGGAAGACATCACCCACATCACTCACGTACTTAAGGCCACTGAAACTGACAGTCTTTCCCTGGGTCTTCTGCAGCACGGCTGAAGGCTTTTTACAAAGAATGAATTAAATGTGGCTGGAGCTGGGAGTCGCCACGAACAAGAAGAGACTGGTGTTCACAGCCTTTCCCCCAACACGCGACATGACTCCTGGTAACCTCTGTGTCCTGTTCAGATAAGTGATTTTGGCCACAGCGTGCCCTCGGCTTGAAAGGAACAGACAAGAATTTGTAAAATAACTGCCAAGGGCCAAGAAAACACACCAGTGCCAAAACAGCGTGGCTTGAAGTCCGCAGATCAGATAAGCGGACTGGAGGGCTCCCGGCGTCGCCCTCCGTCAGGCATGGGGCTGTGTGGAGAGGGTGAGGGGCTGGGGCCATGGGCATGCTGCCGAAGCGCAGGCCTGGGACCTGGTGAGAGGGGGGCTTGGTGCCTGCGTCCGGGCCTCCCTCCAGAGGGCACTGGCCAGTGTCTCCTGCTCCCGGCCACACCCGCCATTACGCAGAAGGACTCGCTCCACACAGCGCACTCCCCCAGGTCTTTCTCCCTCCCCTTTTCTTTCTTTCTTTTTTTTTTTTAAATTGCTTTTCCTTAAATTTTATAATTTAAAATAAACATCATTAACTTACTTGAGAAATGCTATTGCTTCCTCAATGTAAAATTGCTTACATCTTGTGGAAAGAGATTGAAGACCCTTTAACATATCTGACGGCACAGAAGGCAGGACCTCCTCCTGTTAGTGCAGTTCTATGTACATACGTGTGTATATATGTGTATATCTATTTGTTTACAGAATGTCTGGATAATGCACACAATTCCACACCTCTGGAAAAAAGGAAGCAAGTTGGCTGCCACAGCTTTTTTTTGTCCTCTATTAATAAAGACGAGGATGACAAGTGTTGAGACTGGGTCGTTACTGCCAGATCTCCCAAGGGCATGGGAGTAACAATGGGAACCTGTGTGAGAGCCATCGTCACTTCTGAGCCGACGATGCTTCAGGTTTGGATTTCCTTTCCAAATTTTACGGAAGGGATAGGAGGCAGAAGGAACTATTTAAAAGGTAGAGATAGAGATAAAATTACCCTGCCCACAGACCTGCTAGTTACAATGGATACGCTCTTCATCCCAAACAGGCATTAGAACTTACAAATAGAAAACAATTTTTTCCTAGGAAATACTCAGATTCCTGCGATGGTATGGTTAGCCCTTTTCTATGTGGAAGAAAGGGTGTTCAGTTTGGATGCTTAGGGACAGCACACTGGAATAACCTCTCCAGGGGAGAGTAGACCCTGTTGGCTGAAGACTGCTCCCACCAGCTAGAGGGAAGGGCAGTGGAAGGACGTGTGAAGATGAGGATGGTAGTGGAGACACATAGATTTACAGCTCTGTAAACTCTAAAGAGGAAGAAGTCCACTCTTGATTACAACCAGGGTAAACAAAGTCCCCCATGGAAAACAGAGCAGACACGGACGGGGGCGCCAGAGAGGCACAGAGCAGCTCTGCCCTGTGTCCTCGGACGCGGTGAGCCCCGGATCGGATTAGCTGTCCAACCAGATCCAGGCGTGGCCGGTCGCTGGCAGATGACTGTTTCGGATCTTGGTATCTGCATGTTTTCCTAAAGGACGTGGGGGCGCAGGTGGGGTTTCTAAACTGGCAGACGAATCCCTGAAAAACTCCTTCTGACGAGGCCCCAGGGCACGCCACGTACTTCCAGCAGACAGACGTGTGGCCTCTGCCTGCGGCACCCACAGGCTCACGTCGCACGCACACGCACTTCCTACTTTTCCTCAACAACTGCAGTGCTTTCAACAAGAGGAAAAACAATAATAAAAATAGCAATAATTAAAAAGGTATTCTACATTATTAACTCCCATTTGGTATATTACAGTGGTATTTTCTGTACATGGCCCAGAACTAAGTTCCCTATGTACATAGACACACGGGGGGTGGGGAAGCATTGACCTTGGAAGTCTTCGCCTTATGCCCTGAAAGACAAGGTTTCCTCCTTCATTCCCGAGGTCCTCACCACACCGCCACACTGCCGTTCCGAAGGGGCAACGTTCCGTCGACCTGGAGGGGCCTGGGGCGGGCGCGCGGGGCAGCCTCCTCGGGTCTCCCGCACGGCCCGTCAGCAGCTGCTGTTTTTGAATTCACCATTCTCCGTGATGGAAAGCTTGGTGGGGTTGGTGGGGGAGATGCCGTTGCGCACCTGCATGCTGTAGCGCTCCTTCACCTGCGTCAGCGCGCTCATCAGCCTGGTGTTGGCCGAATCCAGCGACACGATCCGTTTTTCCTACAACACACCAATCGGGGCTTTATTCGGGCTCTTTGCGGGCAGAGATACATGTCTGGAACTTTACTGAAAGACTAGCCCGTGCTTTCCCTCAAACAGCAGCACAAATGGAACGTCTCTGCCTCTTTCTGCACACTGATCCAGCTCATGTCCCCTGAGCCCGCGGGGTCTCTGTGTATTTTCTCTCCCTCTCTTCCTCCTTTCAACAAGAAGAGCTTGTTACGAATAATCTCCACGGACCCAGGCCATCAGATAAAAACGACACCGTGCGTACCGCCTACCTACGCACACAGGTGTCGAGAGCCTTACTGTTTGAAGGGCTCTGGCCAGGACCGAACGTGGCAGTTAGGTGGCGAAGAAAGAAGCACCAGAGGTTTCATTCGGGGAGAAGTGCATGTGATCCATGGGCTCTGAGCCCCCAGACAGGGCGTGTCACGCACATTTGGAGAGAATTTGCACGGTGCTCAAAATTAACACGATACATGGTGGCAGTTCAGAGTCACCAACAAGGTGAGGATGCAACAGCAAGAGGGCACAAGGCAGCCAGAAGCTCAGACCGAGGGGTTACTGCAACACGGGGAGGGGTGTGGCTGAAGGGGCGCCGCGAACAGTACATGAGGACGAACAGAGAACGCAGCTCCTAGGCCATTCCAGCTCCGTCACTCAGAAAGCTGCCCGCTGAGGGCACTGCTTTCGTCTCACTTTTGAGTGTCTGCAAAAAATCGCTTTAGAACCATTATTTTGAGAAAGGGCTGTTGAATACACATACACAAAAAAAATCCCCAGGGGTGTGTGTGTGTGTGTGTGTGTGTGTGTGTGTAGGGGAGCAAACTAAAGGCAAAATGGCAATCTGCATAAAAAAAAATCACCCCATGAAAACATCATCAGTCTCACGCTCACAAAGATTAGGAGAGACACCCTAATTGTAGCTCCAGCAGCTAGGGGATGTACTCCAGAACCTTCCCAACATAAAGCCCACATGTTTCAGGAGACAAGGTTAACCAAGGCTTTTCCCATGCTCACCAAAGTAAGAAGCAAATGGCACGGGAGGAACCACCCCAGGCCTGAAGCAGTCTTCCTGCTCTGGGGTTTCACAGTTCACCCAGGCCAGGGCACGGGAGGTTCACACACGGTGAGGTTCGGCAGAGGCAGAGGGCTCAGGGCTGCCGTGCACCTCACCAGGAAGCAGCAGCCGCTCCTGGCCGCCCAGCAGCACCACGCAGCCTGGAGACACGCAGCCAGGAGACACGCTGCCGGGCACGCAGGGGCAGGCGCGCTGCGGGGGGAGGTGAGGAAAGCCACCCGGGACTACAGCACCCAGAGCCCTTTCTGCTCACCGTAGTGGGCGGGCAGGGCGGGGTCCACACAGCAGCAGTGCCTGTGGTGGCCACAGTTTCAAAAGCATGAAAAAACAACAGAGTAGCACATGCTTGTTAACACTTACAGAAAAAAAAAAAATTGGTCCTTCCCCTCATGGAGAACGAGGTGTACATAAAACCCGAGTACTGACTATCCATGAATCTAGCATAAGATGCTCTGTATTTTGGAAAGGTAACTGTTTTCAGGCCTTTCAAGAACAATAATTATATTACAAAAATTAAGAGCCAATGGAGCTTACTGGGCTAACAAGTACAGATCTTTTAAAAAGCCAATAGTTTAGGATTGGCCAGCGGTTACTAGAAGACAAAAAGGCAGGAGGCACACATCATGTCCTTGCCCCTCCCCCGTGGTTAGGAATGATCTCTACGCAGGACACTCATTTCTTGAAATGATGAAAGGAGAAGATATTTCAGTACTGGGATAAGTTATAAGGACCCAATGCTAAGGAAAGCAGGATTCTCCAGGGCTCATCTAAAATAAAAATCAGGTATTCATGGAAGACTATTTGAGTCTTACTGAGCCAAAAAGCAGGCCAAGCATTGTAATCTAAGATGGTAACTACTTATTGCCTAGAAGCAACAACCAAAGCTAAGCAACTCCCCCAACTAACCCGGATGTGTCCCCCTAGAGGAGCTCTCTTCCTAAGTCCCCTACCACACTCCCCCAAAAGAAAAGAAAAAGTAAGAAAGAAGTATGTACATTTGGAAGTCAAGTTCAGTAGGCAAAACATGCTCTGATATTTGGGTTCCGCCTGGACTGGAAGTCAAAGCAGTCTAGTCGGTGCCTGACAGGAAGGAGTGGCAGGAGCTGGAATGTGTAGGAGGCTGGTACACCGGGTCAGGGCTGGGAACTGCTCAGCTAGAGAACGGACAGGTTTACTTGCCTGTTTGAATAATTTCATCTCCATTTATGACCTGTAATTTAACACAGCGGAGATATCACTTGCAACAGTAACTAGGCAGCTGCGTGGCTTCCACGGGAAGGGAGCCCATCTAGGTTCTCCATCTGAGTCACCCGGAGACATCCTGGGGGGGCGCTGTCTCCTCGTGCTTGGGAGTGGAGCACGGTACATCCCATGGTCTGATATTTAAGGAATGCTCCTTAGTACCACCATCAGCGGCCCCACGCCGAGCTACACAGTCCGGGAGGGGTGACTCTGCCGCTCACCACGGAGCGCTCATCCCTCAGCAGCTCTAGTTAGGAGGCTGGTGCGGGCCTGTGCCTTGTAGATGAAGTGGCTCGGGGCGGGGGGCGGGGGGGGCAAGCCCTTATGTGGCAGCGCAGGGCAGCTGAAGGGGCACCTGGGTGCTACTGTTGGGTTTCACTTGAGCGTAAGGAAATCAACTGTATTCATGTCAAATATTTTTATTACCAGTGCACCAAGGTACACGTGAGACAGAAAAGCACGGGTTACCTCGCTGGGAAGCCTTCACCCGCCAACATGTCTTTAGTCTATTCAATGATGCCACAAGGGTTTCTCTGCTCCAGCCAACACTTTGAAGGTAAGAGTTATCCGTACAAAAGAAAAGATCCGATGCAAAGCCATTCACCCCAAAGGACGCCCAGGGATGTTCGGTCTCGTTACAGTAAGGTTTTAATGGATCAGTAAGCCAACAGCTAGAAGTGAGAATCCTTCCTTTTTAAGTGTTTATAATTTGTTTGTATGTGGTGCAGTGGTTTTACAAATATGGTCTCATGGATTTGCCAGGCATTCTCTAGGGATCTGGGGTAAGTCTCTGGTAAAATAATTTATCACACAATAATGCCTATATATATTTGAGTGGGAAACTTTTTATATCTGACCCACTGGCAGAGGATGGTCTTGGCTGTGGAGTGGTCAGCAGGAAGTGGGATATTGATCTATGGAAGGTGCCTTGCTTCCATCAAACTAGGCCAGGGAGCTAAGCTATGTGAGAACCCCTGCCTTGAAGTATGGGCTCCAAATATTAACCGAGTCAGCAGAGTGCAAGTCACTGATGCCGACAGGTCGTGATGCTCTCCTGGTAAGTGGAGACCAAGTCCTTACTTTCCAGAGCTTTTGAGCCCTGACAACTCATCTTCCCTCTGAGTCTATGACCCGATTACCTTGCTGTGGGTGTCGAAACAGGGGGCAGATCGGAAGTAGAAAGCTTCTGAAGCTAATGATGTTCTGAAGGCCAAAGTCAGCCAACATGCAGAGCCAGCCCACGGCCCACCCCGGCTCCCTCTGCTCAAGACTGGCAGTCTTAGGCCGGCTGGGATGGTTAGGAAGGTCTGCATTGTCTCATTAGAACTGAAACTTCTCATGTGTTAGTAGGCCTCTCCCTGCTTCATGCTGTTACACTGAAATGGCAAAAGCGGCAACCTGTCAACACTGCTTTCCCTGAACTGCCTTCTGTGTCCAGGGCGTCCTCTTTAGCCTCTGGGGGAATTCTCACAGCATGTATAGCAAGACGGCTTTGCCTCCCCCTTATTTATCTTGGGGACACCTAGAAAGATTATAAAGCAAAAAGGACCAAGTAAGACCATTATAGGCAACCTTTCTTCTGATTCTTAGCAGGTCCAAACATCCAGAAATATTTTGGGGGAACTACACGAATGAGAGTGCGCCACGACTCACACCTGGCTCCAAGTCTACTGTGTGAAGGAGTGTGGGGTGTGCGACGCGGTACCCCCCACGTTACGCCTTCAGCCTCACTGCTGAGCCCTCTGAGAATGGAGCTTCGCCCCACACTGACCTGGAAGGAAACTAGGCTGGTAAGCACATGTTAAGAACGCTGGGGGCTCTCACACAGACCACGGGCTCTTAAGTAGACAAGGGCACTGAACATCTATGAACAAAGTCTCTCTCTCTCTCTCTCTCTGGGTGAGAAACAAAAACCTGGCTGAGTTGTCTTCAAGGAGGCCGTATGTTCAGCGACTGGACCACCTGCTATCAAGACTGTGCCTGATGCCTGCTAGCTGTTTCACCTTAAGAAACACAACCGAGCCGGCGCCGTGGCTCAATAGGCTAATCCTCCACCTTGTGGCGCCGGCACACCGGGTTCTAGTCCCGGTTGGGGCGCCGGATTCTGTCCCGGTTGCCCCTCTTCCAGGCCAGCTCTCTGCTATGGCCAGGGAGTGCAGTGGAGGATGGCCCAGGTGCTTGGGCCCTGCACCCCATGGGAGACCAGGAAAAGCACCTGGATCCTGGCTCCTGCCATCGGATCAGCACGGTGCGCCGGCTGCAGCGGCGGCCATTGGAGGGTGAACCAACGGCAAAGGAAGACCTTTCTCTCTCTGTCTCTCTCTCTCACTGTCCACTCTGCCTGTCAAAAAAAAAAAAAAAAAAAAAACAATAGAAACACAACCGTATCTGACGCTGATGAGATGAAGAGGAGGGAAGGCACCTGCCCTGCCTCCTGGCTGTCCCTCTGGTCCCTCTGCGGGACGCTCTTGCCAGTCATCACCCTGGTGGCATCCTAGGCATCGGCTACACTGAGCAGAGGTGTCTACATTCTGAGTTCATCAAGCTGCTTTTCTATTTTTTTAAGAGAAAGTTTTATCAAAAGAGGCTCGCTAGGCACAGTGCCAACAAAGAAGGGCAGCAAAGCACATTCCGAACAGCAGTGCCAGACCCAGAACTGGAGGGGTGATGAGGAGAGCTGCCTGATCCTCCCCCTGCAACTCCATTACCGTCGGGGGCTAGAGGAGGGAGGCAGGGCACGTGACCGACAAGACCAGGAACAGCACAGCCAAGCAGTGGTCAGCGAGATCACAGGCCAGACACATGCAGTGCACTTCGGATGGTCACCCTCTTCCAGAAAGCCTTCCTTCCCGTAAGGGAAGAAGCAAACCCCATCATGCACTAGGCTGAGACCCGTGACGCAACTGGACTAAGCACACTGTCACTGCTGGGGTAGCACACTGGGCACAGTGAAAGGAAGGCAAAACGCTGCAGCTCTCAGAGGAACTGAGGTAATCTCCAAGAGGAGGCGCCGAGAACTCTTCACTGGCCTGTTTTGCAGGGCCTGCCTTGGCATTTGCGAGGAGGAGAAATCAGGAAATAGCAGCTATTACAAACAAGTGCCTTCTCCTGCCTCCCAGCCACTCACCTGCGCGTCAATTATCTTCTGCTTTGCGTCGATAACCGCCTGCATCTCAGCGTGATCCTTCTTCAGTTCTTCCTCTACAGCCATTAGCCTGGGCCGGGGCAGGAAGGAGGAGTTACCATTTCGGAGAGAGGGCTGAGTATTCCAGCGAACAGGAAACTCAAAACTTCTCCCACCTCCCCAGCAAAGGCCTGCGATCACTCGTTCTCCTCCCCCACCTTTGAAGAAGACATCCAAGGTTGGCTTTTCTCTGCTTTTTCATCTCCTTTGGAGTGAACAGTATTCCCATAATCATTTCTTCTTTCTCCTCTACAGATCCCATCCCTTGCACAACTTAATTTCACGTTAAAATATCAAAGCAAACAACAAAGAACGCCCAACAGCTCTCTTCACTCACAGAGCTAAGCTTTCTAGGTACTCTGTTTGTAGTAGCCCTCGTGTCTCTCTTTCACCACTCACATTTCAGTCCACTGATGCCCCCTCCAACACTCTGGCTCTCAGTCAGATTGCTGGTTACTCCCACTACTACGACCTTTCGCCCTCCACTGACTGAACCAGGGCACAGCAACTGACAATATGGAAGCCTGGTGTACATGAGCATAGACTGAGGAGCCCGACCACCTGGGTCTCACAACACTACGTCACCTTGGGCAAGTGACTTCCATCTGTTGCCTGTTTATTTGTAAAACAGGAACAACAATGCCCATCTCAGAGAATGCATGAAGATTAAGCAAATTATTTTAAAGTCCCTGGTTTTTAGTGAAAAATGTGTACATGTTTGGTAAAACCAACTTCTCCCTTGGCATCTGTGGTACTCTTGGTCCTGTGGCCCTAAAGATAACCAGTGGAACTTCTTGCCGTGTCTCCGGACTTGTTTTTAAACGTGAAGTTAGTCTAGGACATTGGATATTCAGATTTTAAACAAAATGTATTTATAGATTTGCGAGGCAGAGAGAGTGGCACTGACACACACACGCAGAGTCAGAACAAGCTCCCGCCCACTGGGTCACCCCTCAGACACTTGCACTGGCCAGGGTGGTGCTGGGACATGGAGTTAGGTCTCCTACGTGGGTGGCAGAGGCTCAACTGCTTGAGCCATCACTGCTGTCTCCCAGCGTGTGTGTCAGCAGGAAGCCAGACATCAAACCCAGGCACTCTGAGAAGGGAAGCAGGCATCTAACCAGCGTCTTGACCACTAGGCCGAATGCTGGAATTCTGAGATTTCTCTAAACCTAGTTTTCCTTTGAAATATCAAGGGGGTCACTTTGTTTTTATTTTTCCAATTGTATCTTCCTAGGCAGTGCCCTAGGCCTCCTATGGATGCTGTTTGAAGAGACCCAGTCACCACACTGAGTACACAGGTGGCTGCACGTGGTGGCTGCTGCTGCTCCTCTGAGTCTCGCCGCCCCGCCTCCGGCCCCGCACCTGCTGATGATGCTCTTCATCTGGCTGTCCTTGTCCTCCTGCTGCCTGCGCAGCCGCTCCTCGCTGGCCTCCAGCCGGGCCTTGTACTCCAGCAGCAGCTTCTGCATCTGCTGCTCCTGCACCAGCAGGCGCCGCTCGTACTCCTCCAGCCGCCGGCTGGACGCTCGCAGGCGCTCCTTCAGCTTCGTGATTTCCTGTTCGTACTGCAGTGGAGACGAGGAGAGACACGCGAGTTACGCTACTGGTGACTGACTTCGGAGCGAGGACCGCCCCGGCAGTGCCGCGCATGCTGCCTGGGCTGCCAGGGCGCTCTCACATTATCACTGGCAGAGACGTGGGTGCAGCCGCACCCGCCTTCTAGAACTGCATTTGCAATCTTCACTTGGCATTCTATCATCTATATATTTTTGTGCCTCTCTCCACATTAAACTACCAGTTGCTACCAGCCACATCCAATCTGTGATGGTATAAAATGAGACGAGCAAAAAAAAAAAAAAAAAATCAAGCATTTAGAAGCTTAAAGAATCCCCTGACTATGACAGAAATGGTTTCTGTGTTATCACCGCGCGGCAGGATTGCTGACAGATCTCAGGATCTCGGCTCGGAGCGCTGTTCCCTCACTCTGCTAGGGGACAAGCGAGATTTTTTTCCTTGTCCAGCCACTGCGTCAACAGGCCGTATTCACACAGCGGTGGCTGGCGCTGCTCCCTAAGGCAGCCAAGGCCTGCATGTGCTCCAGGGCAGAGTAACACTGCCTTGTGGCTCATGCTCAGGACACGGCTTCTCTGCTCGGTTGGCTCCGTTCCTGCTGGAGCACACGTGTCTGAGGCCTCACTAAGAAGCCCTTGATGAATTAGGAACGCAGCACGGCCTTTCTCGTACTGAGGTCGTGGACGCTGGGCTGAGTACACGAGCGTGAGGTTCCCCAGGTGCAGTGAGAAGCAGAGGGTCTCACACGGATGGCCTACTCTCTCTCCCTGTTAGTGATCAATTCGCAGGGTGCTCTGTGCCCTGAAATCCATGTTCCCATGCTGTTTTCACATTTAACTGACCAGCAGACAACCAGTTACTGCCCACCCAACATTATGGTTCTAACCAGGGGTGGGGAACCTTTTTTCTGCCAAGGGCCATTTGGTTATTTTGGACATCATCTGCAGGCCACACAAAATTATCTACTTAAAGATCTGCCTGCTACAGATTTATTGAATTTCGAATCCTGCCTGTGGCTGCCTTGGCAGGAAAAGACCAATCTGTAGGCCTTGTATGGCCTGTGGGCTGGACGTTCCCCACCCCATGTACACGGTCATCCAGAAGGTCAAAGGTGAGAGTCTTGAAGGCCTGAAGAGGTAGACTGCATCGATAATCATAGTTAATTGTCTGGTTGTCAATTAATATGATAAGTCTATACAAGATGTCAAGGTTCTTGTCTGATAATCCTCTCTCCCCGCCCTGTGTCAACTTTTCTTGAAAAAAAACAAAAAAACAAAAAAACAAAAAACAAATAAAACCTAAGCAGCAGATAATATTCTTTTAATAATTATCTGCAGGGCTGGGCATTCTTTAACATTAACCCAAAGAGGCAAAAAGAAATAAACCAAACCCAAACCAAATTGTTACCCAGATATAAAGGGGAAGTCTAGTCCTTATATTATTTTTGGCTTTGCTTGAAGACTAACAACCAAGTTAAAGAGACACTAAGTATTTACCTAAAATGACTAGACATGGATAGCACAGTGTCTTGCAGATTAAGGCAATCTATAATTAAAGAGACAGCATTAGCCAACAGCTCTCCTCCAACGTACCATGGTGGCCACCTCCTACATATGTTCACGCTACTGCCCTCTTACACGCAGGTACACACCTAAGAGTTAACATGGGAGGCCAAGGTGGCGCTAGGAGTGGGGGGGGGGGTCAAGTCCTGCAAGAAGGTGGCGGGGCCTCTGGCTGCGCAGCACCGTCAGTGAGCACGCACGAGGTTTTACCTTCTCAGCATGCTTCGCTTCGTCTGGATTCTGCTCAGTTTCCTCCACATCCTCCTCGTACTGCCCGTTGTTCAGAACCCAGGCTGCTGTCCTCTCCACAGGCGACATGGTGGCAGAGTCCACGGGTGACTGAACCTGCATCAGAAACAGTCACGAGTAGCTCCCTGAGTGCTCCCTGACTTGTAGGTTTCACACAGTGGTTCCTGGAAGTCCTAACGCTGATCTTTCAGCATTCTAATACACCTTCTCACACCAAGGTCATATTTTATTAAGGCCAGGACCAGGGGTGGGGAAACAGAACATCCATTTGTGTAAGAACAGACGATTCTAAATAGCAATTTGTATACTTCACATCCAAGATTCAGGCTTTCTCTCCCTCTGCAAGAAGCCAAAGCCTTAAAACTGTTAATTCTGCTTGCCCAGTGGTCCAAATGCTGTTAGGTACTAACTAAATTACCTACTGATGATGACGAATGAGAGACATAATGGTTGACTGCTCAGGTTAGGAAACAACTGTTTAACCCAGAGATGACCAGGAACCCAAGAACTGACTAATGTTAAACTCACAAGGTGCCAATTTATGTATCAGAATACCTAATATGTGTGGTTTTCATTATAACCACTTAGACAAAGAGAAGGATAAGTGATTTTGGTTTTTATACACCACTGACTTCCTGATGGGTTAAGACCACTCAGGAGTCCATATTTTAGACAACAAACTTTCTCGATACATACAGGATCCAAACAATGGGCACTGGATAGTCTAAGGGATTTTTATATCTAGCTAGGATAGCAAGATATATAGCCTTTTCCCAATATAGATAGAGAGTTAAGAATTCTGGCTGGTGCCAGCGCTGTGGGATAGTAGGTTAAACCTGCTTAACCTATTGGTACCTGCAGCATCAGTATCCCATATGGGCACTGGTTCAAGTCTCCACTTTTGGTCCAACTCCCTGCTAATGGTCTGGAAAAGCAGCAGAAGACAGCACAAGTCCTTGGGCCCCTGTACCCACGTGAGAGACCTGGAAGAAGCTCCTGGCTCTTGGCTTCAGATTGGCCCACCTCTGCTACTGCAGCCATCTGGGGGTGAACCAGTGGATGGAAGAGCTCTCTCTCCATCTCTCCCTCTCAAATAAATAAATAAATAAATCTTAGGGAAAAAAAATTCTGCCTTTCAGGAACCAGTCCGACACCCAGTAGTCAAGTTACTTAGTCCCTTAAATACAGTTTTCCTAATCTACTGAATAGGGCTACCACTGCCATAGCCAACACCACCATCCTAACAGGGAGCTTGAGGACGTGGTAATATAATAATAATAACTTGGTGAAATAGTAAAGTGTGTGGAAGGCCTTTGGAAACTTCCGAATGAGACAGGTCAGATGTCTGTAATTTCTACATCTATGTCTAGAAAGCTGGCACTGGACACTGCACTTTATATTAGGCTACAGGACGCTAGTGCTTTTCCCACAAACAGTGATGGAAACACAACTTTTCCTGACTGGCCTGAGGGGTTGTGGGAAGGAGAGCGAAGGGGAGGGCAGGGGAGGGGAGAAGGAGGCAAACCTTGTAATCCGAGTTAGCCTTTTATAATTCAGATGGATTTATATTTGAGGACCAATACTCCATAAGCTCACAATTGAAGAGAATTTTCTCTCCTCTGCAATGCCATACATTCTAAGAATTTTTATTTCACTTTGGAATAGAACCTAGTTGAGCTCTAAAAAGACATTTTAAAAGAAGGCATGTTTTTGACGACCTTGAGAGTTAGAAAGATTAGATTTTACAACCTGTTACACAGATAAAAGATGGGTTAGGAGAGACTTGAAAACTAACTACACAGGCGGAAGCAGTATGAGGGTCTAAGATCTGAGTAAGAAGCTGGTTCAGAGCTGTTCAGATTCCAGATCTACATCAATGGAAACGGCTCCATGGCTGAGGATGGATGTGTGCAGTGCAACTGAGAGTGAGCTAGCAATTCCTTTCATAAAGGCTTTTCCCTCAATGTATCAGAAACACGCAAGCACGTCCTAAACTCTAGCACCCGGTCTCCACTATGGTAGGTAGATGTGCCTCTTCATTTATTTGTATAACCACACACCTATTGCTTTTGTCATCCCTAGCTTTTCACTGATACATTATTTACTTATCTCTCTCTCTCTTTTTTTTTCTACTTATCTCATTTAAAACCACCTTTTAAATTAGGTAAGCCCTGTGTTAAACAACATCAGTAAGACTCTGAATTTGATGTTTATATATATATATATATGTATGTTTATAAATAAATGGCCATATATTTTTAATATGCATTAAAATATGTACTTGATTAATAATTACCTTGTACACACAAATAATTTTGAATATCACATTTTGGGCATTTACCTATGGGACCCAGTGTCACTTATAAAAGGAAGATAAATATCTCTAACAAGAAACAAACGGGATAGACTGTGAGAGCACTTGGTAAACTTCAAGGCACTTTACACACACAGACACATATACCACAGTTCTCCCCCTGCTGGACTTTAAAAGCGGAGTATAATAAACTGCTTTAGGACTGCTAAAGATAGGTTATTGTTTGATGTATGTGCATCTGAAAGGCAAAAGGATATATAACATCGAGGCTTAACAAATTAGTAGAAGGTCAAGTTTTAAAGGAGACCATTTTAAACAAGATTTTAGTTTTAAATCTTGTCACTTCAGCACAAAGAATACAGGAAAGCTGTGAAACCAGGCTTTTCTATTCAATAGCAATTTGAAATAAAGCAGTGAATAAAACTGATAACCACTGTTTAGAATGTATCATTTCAAGGCAGCTAACTCAACAGCTTTCTGTTCATGTAGTAAACAAGAAGTCGCCTGAATGAACTTTCTTTCCCTGTGATTTGTTACAAGTACCTGTCAAGTGTCTGTAAAAGCAATGCAAACCAATGCCATTCCTAGGAACACATGCAGGAGCAATCTTAGCTCTAACAGCACATTAAAACAATTAGAGAAACACTAAATAAGATGTAAAAACAAGGGTTGATTGATTCTATGGGTGAGGATGGCGGCTACTCTGTCTTCAGAAGGACTAATATAATGTCCAATGAATGGTGGGACATTAGTCAAAGGGAAATCATCATTCTGAGTCTATTCCTACTTAATTGGTTGACTCTTACTTTCAGCCACTTTCTAATATATCCTAGCACTTTGTCTAACATACAGTAGGTGGTCAACATAACAAAATAAAATGGACAAACATATCAGACCAATCTTAATTATTCCTTCTATTTATAAAAAAGCCTCAACAAAATCATAAAGACATGAGAAACTGATGTTTCATTTTTTCAAAGATTTATTTGTTAACTTGAAAGGCACAGTTACAGAGAAAGAGAGAGAATTTCCCATCTGCTGGTTTACTCCCCAAATGGCCATTACATCCCCAAATGGCTGAGCCAGGCTGAAGCCAGGAGCCAGGAACTCAACTGGGGTGGCCCACATGCATGGCAAGGGCCCAAGTACTCAGGTCATCTTCTGTTGCTTTCCCAGGCATATTAGCAAGGAGCTGGATCAGAAGTGGATCAGCTGGGACATGAACCTTTGCCCATATGGGATGCTGGCATTGCACAGGGTAGCTTAGCCCACAGCAACACAATGCTGGCCCCATGAGAAACTACTAAGTCAGAAATAGTTATTATACTAGACTGGAAGAAAATAGAGGTGATTTTTATTTCAAAATTATTTTTTGTTGCAATGTGTTCTTCCTTTGAACTATACAAAAATAACATCCAATTGTCTTGAGCATTATGTGTGCTGGTCTTACTGCTGAATTAGGTTGTCAACCTAATAGCACCATATCCTAGAGTTCTTTCAAATGACAATGACTAGCTAAGTGAGCATTCACTGCTCAGTGAAGTGCTATTCATTTATTAACATCCTAGATTCTCTGAGAATTCATTACTAGCCTAACACCAAGAGAATGACATTTCCTGTCTTACCTCTCATCTGTTGGAAGGGTACCAAAGGCTTTTCCTCAATGACTGTTCCATCTCCTTTAGTCAGAAAAGAAAGAGGTTGGGAAGTGGTTCAGATCCATCTTGGTACAACCTCAGGAAGGGCCTTTACAGGCACTGAATTTCCTCAAGACCAGCAAAGAGGGGCCAGTGTTGTGGCTGAGTGGGTAACACTGCTTCCTGTAACGCCAGCATCCCACACGGGTGCCAGGTCATGTCCTAGCTGTTCCACTTATGATCCAGCTCCCTGCTAAGGACCAGGGAGAAGTAGTGGAAGATGGCCCAACCGTTTGAGCCCCTGCCACCCATATGGGAGACCTGGATGAAATTCCTGGCTCCCAGCTTTGGCCTAGCCCAGCATTGGCTGATGCAGCCATCTTGGGATGGAAGATCTCTGTCTCTCCCTCTCTCTCTCTGTAATTCTGACTTGCAAGAATCAATAAATAAATCTTAAAAACAAACAAACAAATAAAGACCAGCAAAGAAAATGAAAGATGAAAAAGAAACAAGGGAAAAAGAGATAAGAGCAGAAATTCCTGTTAAGAATACCTCCCTCTTGAGACAAAGCTGTACAGAATTTCTTGGGGTTGGGGTTGGGGTGGGATGCTTTAGGGCACAAGAGCCTGACAGTAGTTTCACTGATACTACAGTTGGTCAGAGTCTGAGTCTGTGAGGACCAAGGAGAAAAGGCTGGCTCTCTGCTCCCTGTTCCTTGCTAGTATTTATCAACAAGACTTGTTGACTTCAGTCTGTATAGGTTCCCATAAATGAATAATGCTTCTGCTGTCGACTCTGAAGAAAGGGCTAAAATAATAAGTAAACTCTGAGAGTTCTTGAGAAGGTTGGTTCGCAGAGGGTTGGACAACTCCCAGTTTGAAAACTGCAGTACCATTATCTAGAAGTTTTGGCAAATGCCTACTGTAAAATGCCTCTTCAAACCCGAGTTCTTAAGGTTAGGCAAAACGCTAAGTGTGAACAGCTCATATCTTGTAAATAAAGTCTATTATTTGTATAGAGTACATGACACATGAGAGACAAAACAGATACAAAAATGAGAAAAAAAAGAAACCTAAGTAGAAGCTAAAAAGGGTAAAAAAAATCAAAAGACAGCTTTCTGGAAAAAAAAATCTTTGTGTATTATTTCACTTGGATTTTACTTCCTTCCTGCTTGCTAAATGGAGAACACTGAAGCTTGTCACACTGCCAACAATGGCTGCTCCTTTGTGCTAAGATACAAATGGAATTTGCATGGGACAAAGCCACGATAATTATAGACGCCTACAGAACAATCCCCACAAAGAAATCCTCTAGTATTCGGGAGAGAATTCCCCAACACAATCTGCAATTAAAGCATGTAAAGGAATTTGCCTTAAAAATGTGCTGATTATACAGAACTTTCACGGAATGAGATGAGAACCCCCAAGCAAGAAATAGAAAGATAAGGAATAAAAAGTCAATGACCTAAGTTCAAAAGAATGAATCGCCTGGATAGAAAAAGCCAGGATAGAAAAACCAGAAACTTGAGCGTTAAAAGACAGTGATTCATGCTTCAACTGACATGACTGTGGCAACTGCAGCAAAGGCATAAACAAAGATGACTATTCAGAGCTGTGCTGGGATGTCTCTGTGACCCCACCCCACTCCACGCCAATGGATTCATCCTGTAGCTTATCAATGGCTGCGGCACAGAAATTAATATTTAAATTGGCTGTTGGAACATTGTATGGGTTTCTCATCTCCCATGCATCCAGGTAGCCTTTACTGGCCCACAGAAACACGCACTGTGTGCGTATGGGACAGGTGTCAAATCTTCCATAGGAACAATGTTATAAATGACAATGGCTTCCAGACAAGTACAAAAATGAAATTTAATTCATAATATTTATCAACAACTAACTTGAATCTTGGGCCCCTGGGAACTGAGGATTATAAGATATAGGAGGAATGGGTAAGCAGAAAAAAAAATTTTTTTTTTAATTTTCCTTTTCTTTCCAGGGCTGGATCTAAGTCACTTTCTGAAAAGGAAGTGGAGGGGCCTTCCCCATCCTACCCTTCCTGCTAGTCTCCTGTGCTCTACTCCCTGCCTCAGCTGCGCTGCCCTTACGCTGCCCTCAGCACCCAACTGTAAGTCTTTTCCACACAGTATTCCATCTCTAAAATTACTTGTTTCTCTTCCCAACAAGCACTCTTAATTTTCTGAAAGTACCTGATACTACCTAGAGGCTAGTGCAAAAAGCAATGGGAGGAAACAAATTCACAACAAGGTATGAAGGATGCATCATCTCCTAACACACACACACGTTAGATGCACAGGAGGGTACTAGGAAACGTTTGTGGCAAATAGAATTAAAATTCAAGGTTATTTTGGTGCAAAGTTTCTTTTGAAATCCATGGGTATGAGGGTGTCTTCCAAGAGCCTTGGAGGAGGGGTGTTTAGCCTAACAGTTCAGAGGTCTATATTCCAGAGAGCAGTTGGGTTCAACTCCTGGCTTCAGCTCCTGCCAGTGCAGACCCTAGGAGGCAGTGGTGATGGCTCAAGTAATGGGACTCTTGCCACTCATTTGTGAGACCTGGATGAGTTTCTGGCTCAAGGCTTCAGCACTGGCCCTCCAGCTGTTGTGGACAAATGGGGAGTGAGATTGTTCACTGCCTCTTTGCCTCTCAAAAAACAAATATTGCATGGATTTCAAAAAATTTTGTACCAAAAAAATTATAACTCCATTATCCATGAACTTTTCAAGGTATTGTTGTATATTTACATATGCATGTATATATATATATAATGTATATAACCATACATTTTATATATATAAAATATGTAAATATATATAATGTGCATAAAAGACATATTTTCTGTTTTCTTTAAATGAAAATAACTATTAATTAAATCAATTGAATTGGTGGCATTTTGGGAAATGTGACAAAATAAGAAATTAAGAATGACCCACTAGCAGGTTCTGCCCAAAGGTCTACCCCCAGAATCTGCTAAACTTAGTCATGCTTTTCATTCCTTCTTCTACTTCTGTATCCTGGATTCTGTAAATGTTCCACTATTTTAAAGAAGCAACTATCGAAGCAGGAGCAATAGGGTCTGCTCGTGGCAGAGCAGAGGCAGAAGCAGCTAAATGAGAATTTTGCAAAAGTATTAAAGATATACATTGGGATTTATTGCATAAAAGGATCTGTCACAGACTCTTTTACTCACAAAACCCCTAGTACTTATAAAGTATAATTAGGCTTCAATAAATTTAATGAATGCAAAACTTTTTAGGAGAAAAAAATCTTTTTAGAGATGAAAGACAGCCAGACACACACATGAGGGTGCTTCAGAAAGTCTGTGGGAAAATTGAATTAAAAGATAGCTTATTTTAGTACAAAAATTTTTTAATCCATGTATGGTTTTTTCATTTTCTTTGAACTTTTTGAAGTACTCGTGTTTGTGTGCATGTATTTTTAAAGTTACTTCATTGCAAGGAGTAAAGTGTGTATTGGTGCCTCAAAACATAACATGGAAGGTGGAAGTGACCGAATTATTTGCAAACAGTTTGATTTGTCAAGAAAGCTTGGAACTCTTACCATATAAAGACTGGTGAACCCTAACTGGGCTGTCCATTTGCAAATGTTTAGCATACCTGTCAGTCACCTGGGAGTCTACCTCTCTTAACCCCTTACCTTACCCCTTCAGGTGTTCAGATGTTTATTTTTTCTAGCCATTTCCAGGAAAAGACACGTGGGACTCGCTATTTCCAGAGGGAGCTGGGGGATGGAATGGAAGCAGTGACTTGAAATTCTTAGTCCAGAATGGAAAACTTTATTTATGGAAGCCTAAGAAAAAGCTAAGGGCTAACTTCCAGATTTCCCAAACACACTGTGGTTCCTCTGGCCTAGGGATTTCACGGTGTGAGTGTCTGCACTCATCTAACATCACAGATCTGTTCCAAGTGCAAACCCAGGCAGCCGAGGCTCTGCTGCTTGCGAAGAAGCTAAGGCCCCTGGGTGTTTGTCCCTGAAGGGTACTGAGTCAGGGAGCTGCTGCCTTACCGGGCCAGGAGCCGCCCTTACATTCAAAGGCTGCAGAAAATACCTGCATGTGCAAACCTCGCTAGCAATCCAGTTCCCCAACCATCTGTGTAAGACCCACCAAGGGAGACGTGGAGCGAGCAGACGCCCACCCCTGCCGCACTCAGCCCTACCTGCTGCGTCTGCTGTCTCTGGATGGCTCTCACTTTGGGGACAGGGCTCTCTCTGGAGGAGGAGGACTGCTGCCGAGAGCGGCTCCCGTTCTGCACGGGTTCGGCCACCAGAGCTGCGGACGCCACGGACATGCTCCCGGTGCTGCGGAGCGAGGCGCTATGTGGCAGGGAGGGCGGGGCTTTGGCTCGGGCACCCAACCCGGCCTGGTCCATTTTTCGGGTTTGGGTCTGCCCAGTACTGTTTTGCCGTGGGAGAGCAAGAGGTATGTGTCTGTCCGGCACAGTGTGCCGCCTGGAGAAGTCCTCGCTCTGCGTGCTGCGTTTGGTGAAGTCTTCCATGCTGCTGTTGCTGGGCCCGCTGAGTTTGAAGTCTTCACTGTTGCTTTGGCTTCTGGAACTGGCAGTGCTCAGGTTCTCCAAACTGGAATCCACGGAGGCCTTTGGCATCGACGGAATCGGGTTACTGAGGTGGTAGACGGGGTTCTGGAATGACAAGGGCTGCAGGCTGCCTGGCTGGCTCAGGGCTGGGTGCAGGGGCCTTCTCACTTGGGGCGCGCTCTGGGGCGTGCTCTGGGCTTCCCGCAGCTGCGTGAGGCTGGCCACCTGGGAGATGGAAAGCTGGCTTCCGGTCAGGCGCAGCGGCACGTCCAGGACCGCAGACGCGTGCTCCACCTGCGCCGCGTGCGCGTCCTGCAGGTCCATGAGGGAGATGCTGCGGCCGTTGGGCAGGCTGCCTTCCTTCTCCTTCTCAGAGTGAGTCATGCTCTGCGAGGAGGCTTGCTGGACCAGCAGCAGCGTCTTCCCTCGGTAGTAGCTGTCTGTGTTGTCCTGGCTGGGAGACTTCAGCTTGTGCAGATCGCTGTGGGGAGGCAGAGGGCCGCTAATTACTCTCGAGTTAAGACTTCGACTCAGGCACACAGACGCTCCTGACTGTTCACCGGCTGTCGGAGCGGGTTTCGGCCTTACAACTCTCATCAAACCGTGCACTTTACGTAACACGGGGTACAGCATCCCATCACTGTCGTCCCCTTTTACTAGCATTCCAGTAATTCCTGAGGAAGATCTAATGCCTTCCCGAGGGATTCCAATTCATACTGAATGAGCTCCGTTTAAACCGTCAAGAGGCGTTCTGAGTACACGACCGAGGGACCCCGTTAAAGGCACATATGTGGCCGATTCAGAAAGTCTGAGCACCAACAATGTGTCTGCTTGTCCAGCTGACACAGCCAGGTTGAAAGGACTTTTAGCAAGGCCTGCAGAGTTTCAAGTGCTACAATACATGCAAACGTCAATTTAATAAAGCCCTTAGCCTTCCATCCAAGCAGGATATGGATTTTTTTATACATTTGGTGACTATAACTCTATGCTATCATTCCAGAAAATAAGTGATCCTGGATTTTGTGTTTTACGACAAAGCACTACTGGGTTTGTCTTAGGTCAGACAATTATTTTCGATCGCTCAAGACTTTTCAAATTGTAAATCCAACAAGTAAGTATGTAAACGTTATTTCTCACGTACCTGTCAGAGGGGTCTTCAAATATTTTCTGCAGCCCGGAAGAGAGGCTTCCACTGACATTTGGACTTGAGCTATGCTCTGTGAAGCGTCTCAGCTGCTGCTGTATTGGCGTAGGGTTAGTCAGAGACTTGGTGATATCAGCAAGAACGCGAGGGAGAGGCCCCAGTTTTGCCACGGTCGCCTGTAGGAAGGAATTTTCACCCTAATTGGATAACAAGCATTGCGATATCCACCACAGGTTGTTTTGGGCACCACGATGCCCATTGATGGAGGGGTGTGGTTGGAGGGAAGGGTAGGTGATTGCGTAGGGGAGTGGCAGGTTCATAATGCATTGTTATGGAGCAGCGGAACCATGGCGTCGAGATGAATGGAGGCGAAACAAGGTGCAGCAGACATTGAGGAAAGAAAGGAAATAGAAATTAGCATTACGCAAATAAAAAATGAAAACACATGCTCAAAACAACCAAACTGTTGCCATTCCAACTAAAACAGGCATGCAAAGCAAACTGAATCTTTGGGAGGCTAGCGGACCGAAGTGGGGCAGGTGAGGGGAGGAACCAAACACCTTCAGACCAAAGGGAACTTCAAGACCAGAGGAGGGTCGGTGTGATGGAACATCCGGAGAAAAAGGATCATGTGAGAAGAGATGCATGCCAGCATACAGGGGGTGCCGCATTCCGGGGTGCAGTGCACTGCGGGGCACGGTGGGCACGGCCGTTATCTACCCCAGCCAGTCTTGGGAACCCTGACCTACTGCCAAGTGAGTTTCCATCAGGAAGCTACTGCGATTGTTTTTCCAACAGTGAAATCGGGTGAAGTCTATGAGATATGTCTGGGTGTACTCCTGGTTTTCAGGACTAAGCACAGACTTCTAGGGAGAAAGCCTGACTGCACAGACAAGCCTAGTGCTTAAACAGACCCTGGCCCTGGGTGAACCAGGCCTACTTCACAGGATAACTGGAACAGTAAAGACTACATCCCATTCTAGTCGTTCAAACAAGACGAACATTTCAGTGCTTGCTTTATTGGTCTCCATCACTTGTCTTCTTTAGGGAATTCTTACTCCCGTGGGGTCTTACAGGCCCCTCATCTGTTGGGCCGTTTCACATGGCTGCCTCTGTGTGTTCTTTGTTTCTGAACCACTGAGGTTCTTCCCTGCTGCTGCAGTGGACACAGACGCTATCCGAGGGAGACCTGCGCTTGCTCCGCAGTGCTGCGCCAGGACGCATATTCAGGGAATTTACCCTCGGCAGAGCTGGGACCTCACATCCAGCTAGTGCTGCTGAGAGTGAGAACGCGGTCCTGGGGACAGGCAGCCGCGGCCTGCCGCACACACGTCCCAAACCCTGCTAAACAGCATCATTCATGTTTCTCAAAGGAAGTCTTTGCTCATGGGATTTATTTCCCTTCAAATTCTATTGGCATAGCATCTTAATGGATAACAGGAAAATGGAGAAAGACAAATACATGTATCCTTATTATAGAAAACTAACCATCTTCTGAAGTTACTCTCACATACCACTATACATATTTATAGAGTACATGTGGCAAATAGAAATACCAATAAATTGTGATTGACCTAGCCAAAGCTTATGAGAGTATTTTCTACTATAAAACCTACTCCTTTTTATAAAATTCAAGACAATGACCGGCAAGTTATACTTTAACTTATAAGTATCATATATATACCAAAATTCTTGAATTATAGTCATAAAGTAAATGATTAAAAATGGTCATTCCTGTGTGTATTCTTAATTCACAACTATGGAGAAAGAAAACTTCAGGATTGTCAGATCCCACATGATTCTTAGCACTAATAATTATATCAGACTTAGTTTCTAGGCAAGTTTCAGGATATGTACTGTATATAATTTCATGGCTTTCTAGAATTTCCTGATTATAGATCAAATATTTTATTCAGAGCTGATAGCTGTTTATGCTAGGACTTGCGGGACAAAAGATTCAACTAGCAGAAAGGGTGAGCACCCTCGTGCGACAGGTGCATTAAAGCTCTCCATCTGTCATCTCTCATCACTCCACCAGCCTACTTTACCTTATCAAGTTGGGAAACTACTTCCCACAGTAAGGAATGCAAAACTGAAAGCTCTCGGCCCAGATCAATGTAACCATCAAAGCCCGGGGTGTTTGAGATGGTGTCTGGATTAGAGATCTCCAAAAGAAAGCGCTTCATTCCACCCCATTCGTGTTCTAAAAAGTCATTCATGAATGCCATGTATTCCTCTTTGTTACCAAACCTAAAGGAGAGGGTGAGAAAATGAGAAAGGACATGTTCAAGAAAAGAGAATCCATCATTTTGAGTTGACTACATGCAGCTATAATATTTATAATATTTAATAGAGGTATTGACTAATTTTACTATCTGTAGGTGATAAATACTAAAACATATTTCCTTAATATGTACTCAAGGACTTTGAAGAACTAACTCTTTCTGTAAGTCAAACTGTTTCTATATTTCTTGGCATTTAAAGCTCTTTGTAATGTAGCCCCTCACCAACCAGTAACAAAGCTTCAGTACTGCCTGCTTCTTCCGTCTTCCACGCGCATCATACAGCAGTCACTCTCACCTGTTTCAGACCTCTCCAGCGGACAGTACTGAACACCATGTGTTTCCTACATGCACATTTATGGCAGCTTTGGCCTTCGCACCTAAAGGAAGCACTTCACAGCTTCCCTCTGACATATCTGAATTGCTAGCACTTTGGTGCTTTATGGTCATTACCAAGCAAAATAAGGGTCACCTGAACACAGCCACTGTGACACTGTGACGGCTGATCTAATAACCAACCCGTGTGCTAAGTGACTACTGACTGGGTGGCTCCATCGGACAAAGGATGATTCACATCCTGGGGGCGGGGGCAATTTCATCAGGCTACTTAGAATAGTATACAAAACATGTGAATTACTGATTTTGGGGATTTCCCATTGGATATTTTCAGGTTGCAGCTGACTACAGGTAACTGAAACCTTGGAAAATAAACCTGTGGGTAAGGGGGAGGGGAAGGGACTGTTGTACTCCTCCTCCTCCAAGCCTATTTGTTTCCGCTATGGGAGAATGTCTCAGCCTAACTAGACTGTAGCTCTCTTCAGGGCCTAGCGTAAGCCCACAATAAACTAGACACAGTCTTTATCAGAATGGCTCAAATGCGGGTAAATATGTGTACTTCTGCATGGGCTTCTGCAGAGGACACACCAAGTTCAAACAGTGCTCTTCCACAACACCACCATTTACACTAGAAAACGATCTGTTTCATCGACGCTCTAACTTTACAGACTTGTCTTTAAGACTTCATATGGAGAAAACCTGTGAGGAATTCCTTGCTGGTCATTTCTTAAAACTTGCTGAAGAAAAGGTTTGAAAACAATGCAAAGTGGAAAGAAAGAAGACCGTGTGGGTGTCCCCACAGACCGCACAAGGACATAAGCTGCAGCCATTAGTTGCTTGCCTGGAAGTAACTCAAATTCCCTGATGGACTCCTTCATCCCTGCATTCTTTCAAGAGACGGGTTCAGTGCCACACCCTGTACTCTTCCCCACCCCACCCTCTGCCTTTTCCCCCAAGTTTGTAAGCTCCCTAAACCTGAAAAACTTGAATGAAGAAACTCACCTCCGACGACTGCCCCCCAGCCCCCGACTCTGGACTCCTAGCCCACCCTAAGCTCTATAGGACCCAGCATGCCGGAGGACTGTGCCCTCTGCCACGTGCACGCCGGCAGCCGGCCACCTCTGCAAACTGATGTACTTCCTTCTTGAACAAATTCATTTTGGCTGCGAGGTCATTTACCATCTCCTCTCTGTTCTGCTCCCCTTCTCCTTACCCTCATTCCAACTACACAGACGTTAGCTGCTGTTTGCATTTTTGAGTGTGTTTCTCCCCAGTTGCTTTCTCTTAACTTTGTTTTGAAAAATTTTCAACCTACAGAAAGGCTGAAAGAATATACAATGAACACCCATTTGCCTCTCATCTATATTAACCAACTGCTAACATTTTGTCAAGTTGTCTTTCACTCTCCCTCTTTGTACATAAACATTTACTTTTTTTCCTGAACCATTTTAATCTAAGTTGTAGGCATCACTTTTCAACACTTTAGCACCCATTTCTTTAGAATAAAGCATATCTCTTACATCAGCCAATGTTACTTTCACATTAAGACTTTTAAAACACTATTCATGAATTATCTCACACAGTTCATAGATTTCACCAATTGTCTCCCAGATGACTTTTACAGAGTTTTTTCCAATTTGACATCTGAGTAAGTTGTGAGTATTGCATTTAGACTATTAATCTAGAATAGCCCCTCTCCCATCTTTTGCATTCTTCTTAACACTGTCCTTTGTGAAGTGGCCAGACTGTAACCACAGAATTTCTCTGACTGTTCTTTCAACTCTTTCACACTTAGATGTTTGTGTTTTTACACTGCCAGGTGACAGCATATGTATCACATTTTATCTAATCTTTTTTCTTTTGGCCAAAATATTTCTACTAGCCCTCTTCACTCAATATTCTATCTTCATCACTTTTTCGTATTATTGAATATTCTTTGAAAATGTTGCAGTGGCTGCAAATATCCCACTCAATTTTCGTACAGCAGTTTACTTAATACATAAGATGCTCTCAATTTTGGATAATTTTTGTTAATACCACAATGACAATCTGAGAGAGGAGGCTCCCCACATCCAGACTTTAGGCCTCACATATCTTTTAGACAGCGTGCTTTTAGAGCAGTAGCAGCATGACCTACTTGGCGAAGTTGGCCAGGTTCTGAATGACCTTGGCGATGAGAGTGAGTGTCCGAGAGGTGCGGTCATCAGGATACTCCTGCATCAGGTTGAAAAGACTGGGCGACATGATGGCTGGGCACAGGAAACGGAGAAACAACGAGGCACTGATGAGCCGCTCGCTGATGTCCTGCTTGCCTCGACTCAGGCACTGCTGCTTCCAGGACGCAAACACTTCTTTCAATTCACGAGGGAAAACACTGGAGAAAGGAAAAATACCCAAAGCCCTAAGTGTGAAAGTGCCAAGACCCAAGGCAGCACAAGTGACCCAATCCTGACCAAGCTGTAGGGAGGACCCGGTAGAGATCCAGTAGAGAACCAGGAATGAGATTCTGCCTGATTTATGGCTAAGAAGTGGCAGAAAATTCACAGAAGGCCAGATGGAGACTGGAAACCCAAAGCTACAAAACTCTGCATTACTGTAAAATTAGTTCTGCACAGTGAAAAAAAAAATGACACGACGTTCCTGACTAAACCATCTGGTTGAATATAGCTTACCATAATCTTGCTAAACACTGTTCATCAAAAATCTCCCAAAATCTCACCAATTGCTGGGGTTACAGCAATGACCAAAATTCATGACACATCTGTTCAGTAAATATTTTAGAAAGCCAGAAAAACGCTTTTGGTATTACAGAATGTAGTATAATATTTTGGGAAAGAGTATATTTATGTAGGCAGCCAGTTTCAGAAGTACTCGTGTTTACAACAGAGATTTACTTAGACAGAACTGTATTAAGAGAACTTTCGACTGTGGTTGGAATAACAGCACTGTCATGAGGGTAAGTGATAAAATGGAAGTTCTGTGAGCACAGCTGCCAGCCCACCAGTAAGAGTTGATGATCTTGCAGAAAGCCAGCTCGCAGCACATCTTCAGGTTGCTCTGATGGTCTATCAGTTCACTAGAGGAACATTTGCTGGGGTCCACTTCGCAGTTCTCATCCGACTCGTACAAAGCTTTGATGAACTCCCCTATTTGAAGAGCGAAGATGAGGAACAGTGTAACTATCATTACAGGGTTTAACTGAATAGAAGACAAGGATTTAGGATTTCTGTCCAATACATAGATTGGGGAGTCCTGTTCTCAGACCTCACATGGAAGGCAGGAAAGAGTGCCCGTGAAAGGTCACTGCTGCAGAACCAAAGGTCAACACATCCCACAGATCCTGATCATGTTCCTTATCGTGGAAGAGGAATAACAGCCATCATCAAAATCTCATCACAGTGTTTATATAAAAATCGTAACAATACTACTTTAAGCAACGCAGTATCTTTTATCTGAAACTTATAAACATGTTTAATTAGCATGAATTTGCTATTTGTTATAAGGCTCTATCAGAGTGCCCAATGTTTTTGATATTCTTGAAGAACAAACAGCCAGTCTTGATCGAATGGCCCCCTAAGGTTTTAAGTCAGCTGCTAATGTAGGTGCCAAAACAGATGCAAGTTAGGGTCTCTGGGCTAGTGCAAAATTGTAACTGAAGATCTCTTTGAATAACCTGGACATGCTTTTCCATATAGGTCTGGCTTAAAAACCTCTTCTATTTATAGTCTATCCTTTATAAATTTATGCCTGAAATTCCCTGAGACAACAAATCCCTATCTTGTTTATCCTCCACTATACACTTTTATATATCTTCTACTGATCCATGTTGCACACGGTTTTGTGCCTATTTGTTCATGTGTCTGTCTCATTTCTAGGATGAATACCGTCAGAGGTACCAGGTTTTATTCATGTTTAAAGCCCCAGACCCTTGAATAGCCCCCAAAGCATTGTCAGTGCTCCATAAATAACAGCGATGGTAGCTACATATGCTTGGGTTTCTTTTTCTTTACTAACAGGTCTTTGTGAGAGGGGTGTGGATCTTCCAAGGATCCTTCCAAGTCCGTTTATATTGCTTGAGGTTTGGGCTAGTTATGGCAGAGTTCATGGAACTGAACAGTAATTCTTGCAAAATTAAGTAGCAGCAGCAGTATGAAAAGCATTTTCTATGAAAATGGTTAGTGTTGAGATAAAGGGAAGCTTCTAAAAACAGCTACGACAGAGGATAGCTCCTTGGGAAAACCAGGCTTGGAGACAGAAAACAAAGAGGGATATAGAAAAGAAGGTGGTGTGCAGAAAAGGGTAAAGGCTTTGGAGCCGGAAGACCCACGATCAAATGCTAGATCCATCACTTACATGACTGTGTGGCTTCGAAGTCACTAATTAGTCCAGCTGCAGTTGTCTTATTTGTAAAATGGTGTTGGTAAGACTCAGTTTGTACTGTTGTGGTGAGGATTGGAAATGATGTATGAAAAGCATGTAATATGGCGCTTAGCAGGGACTGCACCAAAAAGTATGGTTTCACACAAGCTACGCAATTTTAAAATAATTTCCATGAAGTGGAATAGCCAAAACCAGTACATCTGACATAGTTACCAATTCTTGCAAGATATGTATTCAATATGTTCTTCAAGTCTCTTATGTGTCTCTACACAGTTTACATTTACAGAGTACTTAAGGGGCCGTAGCTGTGGTATAGCGGGTTAAGCCTCTGCCTGCAGTGTCAGCATCCCATATGGGCACCGGTTCGAGCCCTAGCTGCTCCACTCCTGATTCAGCTCCTTACTAATATGCCTGGGAAAGCAGTGTAGGATGGCCCAAGTGCTTGGGTCCCTGCACCCATGTGGGAGACCTGGAAGAAGCTCCTTTCTGGCTTTGGCCTCCCCATTTGTTGAGTGAACCAGTGGATGGTAGACTTCTCTCTCCCTGTCTCTTCCTCTGTCTCTAACTCCGCCTTTCACAAAGAAAATAAATTTTAAACACACATACAGAGACACATTCAGCACTTCAAAAAATAAATAAATGAACAAACAAACAAACCAGAGTACTTAAATTTAAAACAAAGCCATCAGTGTCAAACATCCCACGTAAAACTGGCCAAACCGGAAATTTGTAACATAAATATCTGTTTGTTTAGGGGCAGGCATTTGCGGCAGGTTAAGCCTCCACTGTCTCTCTGTCACTCTGCCTTTCACATGAAAAAAGAAAAAAACCTAAAAAATGTTCTGCTCAGTGAGTTCGTTTAAGTTATATCTATTCTAGGAAACAATGCTCACATTAATGAGTAACATGAATATTAACAACCTTTTCTCTTAATCTTCAAGAAAAGAACAAAATCTCTCTAGAGCTCACAAGTCAGCTGTCTGTGCTGCCAGCCTAAAACTGTCTCCCTGGTTCTGATATGCTTAATTCCTCCAAAATACAGAAAAGCATTTGCACTTTTTAAAAAAAATTTTTATTTAAGGTATACAAATTTCACGTGTCTCCTATATACAGACTCAGGAACACAGTGATAGTTAATCTGACAATGAGAGAGGTATCACATTGAAAAATGAAGCTTTTATAAATTTGTACCTAGAAGGTGCTTATCTGTTCAAAATTAATGAGACAGATTTAAAACCCATTTAAGTACATTCTCTTGCCTTTGAAACACACAGCACCAAAGGAGGTGCTTTGTGAGTTGTTTAAATACATGTCTGAGCCTAGAATGTTCTATGATGTGCTTTCTGTGTACATCATCAATCATTAATAGTAATTGTTAATTACTATCTAGTGTCAAAATTTCTCGACTAGGAGCAAGTCCACAGGTATGGACACACTACTGCTGCCAGGGTGCAACTCAGGTCCCTTCAGGGATTTCCTTTCTCTACCTCACAGATGGCATTTCCTGAGTGTCACAGACATCAAAATGCAATCTGATCTCAATCTGCAAAGGTAAAAAGGGCTAACAGATGGGAGAGTTCAGTCTAAATTTGAGGCAGCATCGGTGTAGTAAACAGTGACGCTTTCATCAAGATGAATGCAGACTGGCAACTTCTAACATCAATTCTCTTTGAAAATTCTACAGGTGGTTCAGAAATGGCATCTGTTCCTTGCCCAAAATGTGTGAAATACAGTCACATTTTGATGGGACGACGAAAATACAAGCCTTGTCCTGAAGCAGCTCACCAGTGAATTCTGTTCACACTCCCGAAGGAGCAGCCGCTTTTATCACCTGGCCCTTGCTCTTGGATCACAGACATGATCACAGAGCTCTGTACTTGAACTGCGTCCCATGCTCAGGGCATCAGCTGCCATGCTGCGCTGAGTCAGTCAGCTACTTGTTCACTGTTCTATGGAAGGACTTGTATTCACTTCTCACCTTGGAAATTCTTTCATTCAGAAATCTCATCTAGCACATTGAACTTTAGAATATGAATGACACGGCCGGTGCCGTGGCTCACTTGGCTAATCCTCTGCCTGCGGCGCCGGCACCCCTGGTTCTAGTCCCGATTGGGGCGCCGGATTCTGTCCCGGTTGCCCCTCTTCCAGGCCAGCCCTCTGCTGTGGCCAGGGAGTGCAGTGGAGGATGGCCCAGGTGCTTGGGCCCTGCACCCCATGGGAGACCAGGAAAAGCACCTGGCTCCTGGCTCCTGCCATCGGATCAGCGCGGTGCGCCGGCCGCAGCGCGCCGGCCGCGGCGGCCATTGGAGGGTGAACCAACGGCAAAGGAGGACCTTTCTCTCTGTCTCTCTCTCTCACTGTCCACTCTGCCTGTCAAAAAAAAAAAAAAAAAAAAAAAAAAAAGAATATGAATGACACGGCCGGCACTGCGGCTCACTTGGCTAATCCTCTGCCTGCGGCGCCGGCACCCCTGGTTCTAGTCCCGATTGGGGCGCCAGTTCTGTCCTGGTTGCTTCTCTTCCAGGCCAGCTCTCTGCTGTGGCCTGGGAGTGCAGTGGAGGATGGCCCAAGTGCCTGGGCCCTCACCCCATGGGAGACCAGGAGGAGGCACCTGGCTCCTGGCTTCAGATCGGCACAGCGCGCCGGCCGAAGCAACCATTTGAGGGGTGAACCAACAGAAGGAAGACCTTTCTCTCTGTCTCTCTCTCTCACTAACTCTGCCTGTCAAAAAATTAAAAAAAAAATATGAATGATAGATTTTGAAGAAATCTGGCCAATAAATATTCATTCCTCTGTTCACAGAATGAGGAGTCCTATATGAGGTGCTTCACTGTTGCCTTTTAGAAGACAATACAAATTTTTAAAGCAAACCTTGAGAGATAATTGATGACTATTCTTTATGTAAATGAGACTATGAACTTCTCTGTACTTTTCCTAATGTCAATGAAAATCCATCTTCACTAGTTTCTCATAAATCACCACTAAATATTAAACTTTTTAAAAATTTGTTTTCATTTTAATTTGAAAGGCAAAGAAACAGAGATCTGCCATCTGCTGATACAGTTCCCCACATCAGCCAGGGTTTGGTCAGGTCAAAGCCAGGAGCCAGGGACTCCATCCAGGTTTCTCATGTGTGTGGCAGGGACCCAGGTATCTGAGCCGTCATCTGCTGCCTCCCAGGAGCACATCAGTGGGAAGTTAGATTGGAAAATGAGGAGCCAGGATGCAAACCAGGCACTGTGACATGGGACCTGGGCATCCTGCACTGAAACTCAATCACTGTGCAAAATGCCCAACCCCCTTAAACCAAAGCACATGACTGACAGAGAAAACATGAAGATAGCAGGAAGAGAAAGAAATCTGCTTCTTTAGAGTAGAAAACAATGGCTACCACTGTGAGTCCACTTCATGTGAACACAGTAGTGCCACTCCTCGACCATGGTTCACTTTTCCCTCCTTACAACCTGGCTCCTGCCCTCCTCATACCAGTCTGAGCCATCACCAGTGATTTTGAACTTGTCACATGCAATACCCATTTTTTGTTGCTGTTGCTCTTTACTTCCTGCAATATCTTCTGATCTTCTCTACTGGTGTCTAGGACTCAGCGTTAGTCTGGCTTTCTCTCTTACTACGCTGTTGCTTTCATTCTCTGATCACTCCTGTTCTTCCTTCTGTCCCGTAAACCCAGGTGTACTGTAAGATCTGTCTTTAGGTCTATTTTCTTCTTTCTCTGGCAATCTCATAGCTTTATTTAAACCCTCCACATGGGTAAGCTGGTTTCCAACAGCCAGCTAGACAGATGTCCGTAGAGCTTTCCTACCTCAAACCTCTGAGATTTCCTGTTAGAACTTCACATTAAATATATATGTGAGGTGGAAATAGAATTTCCCATCTTTTAAGCTTACTACTTAGATGATTTCCATCTCTGTTAAGAACCTCATTATCCTTCTAGTCACTCACAGAGACCAAAATTCTCTGTAATACTTGACCCCTCTCCCCTTCCCACAGACTGAAAAAGCTGAGAAAGTTCAACTTCCTTAATAGTTCTTGTGCCCACCTTTTTCCCACTGCAGTGAGCTCCCCCTTCAGAGCCTCATTATTTCCTGCCTCCCTATCACAACAGCTCTCCACTGACCGCGCTGCTTCCAGCTGCTTTCTTCGACTGCCCGACTTCATCAGTTAAATTAACTCAACGGAAGACACCCTGCTCAAAATCCAGTGGCCCCTGAACCGTCACTGTGAAATCTAATCCTCAGCCAGGCATTCAAAGCTCTCAACAAACTGGTTCTACTTGTCTTCTCATCTTTTATTTTTGTTGTTGCTGTAGTTTACTTGTCTTCTTCATGCTTTTTTTTTTTTTTTCAGCTAAAAGGTTTTATTATATACATGCCTGGGTCTTCCCAACTCTATGGCTTTTTGTTCCTAGGGTTCTCTGTCCCATGATAATCCTTACCACAGCTCTTGCCCAACACCTTTTATAAAAGCTTTCTACTGGGGCCAGAGCTGTGACATGGAAGGTCATCCCATATGAGTCCCAGCTGCTCCAATTCCGATCCGGCTCCCTGCTAATGTGCCTGGGAAAGCAGCGGAGGATGGCTATCCACATGGGAGACCTGGAAGAAGCTCCTGGCTTTGTCCCGGCCAGGCCCTGGCTGTTGTGGCCATTTGGGGAGTGGACTAGCAGATGAAAGATATCTCTCTATCTGCCTTTCAAATAAATAAATATATCTTTAAAAAAAAAGCTTCTACCCTTCAAGCAATACATACAACATATATTTAGTTCATATAGGAAATTTTACAATTCTATTGGCTTGAATAAATAAACTTAATTCTTTGGGAAAAAAAACACAGGATTTTTTTTTTGGTTATCTTTATATCTATACTGTAAGCTCCTTGAGGGCAAAAAAATCTGCACTCATTCAATATACCTTTACTGATGATCTGCTCTTGGTATCACATGTCACTGTTGAGCTAGAGCAAGGTGGCTAGTGCGAATTAAAATGTGTGGTATAATGAAAAATACCAATTTTCAAAGAGTATGATGAAGTAAAATCAAACCGTTAAAGTAGTATTTGGATATACTGGGTAAAATAAACTAGGTTGTTGATTTTGCCTGTTTCTGTATTATCTCCGCATGGCTCATGCCATATTTCTAGAGAGCGCTGCTCCGCACTCTGTGGCAAGTACTGGGGATAGGAGATAATCAGTTCTTCATTCAAAAACTATGTCTGCTCTACCGTGGTGCACACCAAAGCGCCCAGCACAGCACCCTACCCTGGCAGTTAACGGCTGAACGTCATGACCAGATCTGGAACTGCAAGCCAATGCTTAGTCAGCAAGAATCCTGACTGGACAAAAATTAGTTATGTTAAACATTCTGGAGACCTTGAAGGCAGAAATTTGGAGTTGAGAGAACTGGGGATAATATCTTCTTTTTTGATTAGAGTTCTGTGTTCATGATGATAAATGCTGGGTTAACACATTTGAGATCAACGTCATATAAGAGTACTTCAAAAAGTTTATGGAAAATAAAATTTAGTGTGGGGCCAAAAATTTAAAATCCATGCATATGAGGGGTCTCATGGAAAATGTATTATGAAGAAAACTAGACATCAATTTCAAAAGTTTTTTTTTAACACCAAAATCAACTTAGCTTTTTACTCCATCTTTCCACAAGCCTTTTGAAGTACACTTGTATGTTTATATCAGGATGTAAATAGCCAATTCTTCAGGGGAAACAGCTCAGCTCAGGTCTAGTAGTGACACCAATTAATATTATTATTAGTCCCAGAATCAGGGACTTAGGTGTATACTGGTAGGCCTTCTATTTCCATACATACTGTAAGAAACCAATCCCGAGACTTCTTGCAGCTGAAACTCACACTTGAATATTCTAGAGAGCTGGAATTTGGCCTCGGCTTGTCTTTCTCATGAGGGTGAAACAAGAGTCAAAATGGGAAAGAAGAGCGAATAAATGTTTTTCTTTTCCATACCCAATGCATCATGAAGATATTGCTGTCCCACCAACTTGAGGTATTCCTCAATGGATTTGGTGGCAATGGTGTTCTCTCTGAAGATTAAGACATCATGCTCGCCACAACGATCCACCTCAGACATCACCAAGTCGGTCAGAAAATCCTGGTGGAATAATGTTCAGTCAGGCCGAGAACAATGGAATAAATAATACACATTAGAAGAGACTGATGAAACACCAGACGCCCCCGTAAGTGCTGCTGTAAAACTAAAGCTACAGATTGATTTGACAGAAAAAAGGCGGTCAGGATTAGATTTTAGGGGTCACTCCCCCTATGTTTCAAATTCCTTCCAAGATTTTTCATTGCACTTTTGATAAAGACCAGAATTCTGAATGCAGTCTACAAAAAGTTTCTATCTTTTCTGTCTCTCCAGCCTCGTCTTGTGCCATTCTGCTCCAGCCTCAGGGGCCTTCTTGTTCGGTCCTTTAATGCACACACCACCGCCCTTCTACATACAATGTCCTCTATTCAGCAGAACGCTGCCTGGCAAATGCTGTTCTCAGTTCTGCTCCACTCCCACCCTTGCTTCTGCCCCCACTGTCAGGGAGCGAATTCCTGGGCTCCTTGGGTCTTAGTTCACACACCATTTCCTCCAACACTGTCCCCAAACCCGCCATCAGGACCTTTGTTCCACACCCTTATCTTGTGTGCCTCACTAGAATTGTTACTGGAGAAGCTACTTCATGAATTAGCTGACTAATACAGATTTTCCTCAGAAATCTGCAAGCCTCATAAGGCCAAGGGGAGTGCCTATTTTGTCCACTGTCACACTGCCACCAGCTATCCGTTTTTGGCATATGTTAGGTGTTCAATATATTACAGTTTACAAGTTGGCCCATGGTATTAATGTGAAATTTCTTGCTCTTGTCATTTGAACTCATTTTCTAGGCTACTATTGCTTATGCATCTCTCCATGGAAAAGGAAGAGACAAAGAAAGAGAAAGCCTTGAAGAAACAGCTGCTTTGTTCCTCAACACTTTTAGAAAACTTGGTGTAAAACGCAGTGCTTTTGGTTGTTCAGTCTGAAAGGTGATACTATCAGATATTTTGAATGTTACCAGTATACTTACTGGGTATTTCAAGGGCTCAAAAACTAAAAACAGATGGAATATGTTCATTTTCTTTTATATACAATTAAACATTATAAATATTCATGGGATTCACTTTTGGGCAGCTCAACAGAGTTGTGTGGACTTAGGAATCACTATTAAAACTTCTGCTGAGGGGCAGGCACTGTGGCTCAGCAGGTTAACGTCTTGGCCTGAAGCGCTGGCATCCCATATGGGCACCAGTTCTAGTCCCGGCTGCTCCACTTCCAAGCCAACTCTGCTGTGGCCTGGGAAAGCAGTAGAGGATGGCCCAAATCCTTGGGCCCCTGCACCCATGTGGGAGACCCAGAAGAAGCTCCTCACTCCTGGCTTTGGATCGGCGTAGCTCTGGCTGTTGCGGCCATCTGGGGAGTGAACCATTGGATGGACGACCTCTCTCTCCACCTCTCCTCTCTCTGTGTAACTCTGACTTTCAAATAAATAAATAAATCTTAAAAAAAAAAAAAAGAAAAGAAAAAACTTCTGCTGAGAGGCAGAGGAAACTTTTGGGAGTTTGGATAACATTCTGTATCTCAATCAGGTGGTGGTTTCAGTGGGTGAAAATCTGCCAAACTCGCTGAACTTTTCCACTGCCAATGAATATAGTTTATTACATATAAATAGAATACAAATCAGTGACTTTAAAAGAAAACATATATATCCTGAACCTTGAACAACTGAAAAGAAGAATATATTCATACAATTTCAAAGATAGAACTCAAAATTTCAAGGATATCTCAACCCAAACTCTTAAGCTTTCATAATGACAGAAAGCTTAAAACTATTAAAAGTAAATTAAGCACAAAAATCATAATCAAAAGAAGGCAGATAAGGGACTCATTATTGAACATATTGATGCATTCTGATTTATATCTAGAAATCTTAATAGCACTTTATTTTATTATTTGGTTTGAAATAAATTATTCTAGCTGTGAACCTCTCTAGAGCTAAAATATAAACTTATCATGACCAGCCAAATCAGGTGACTATGCCTCGTAGGTCAATGAGTCTATCAGCTGGGTTGCTGTTCTACCTACAGTCAGAATACTTCTTCTTTGCCTACCTTTTTGAACTTTCACTTCTATCCAGGAAAAAAGAGAAAAGGCTATCATGAACCTCTACCAATTGTTTAATATCTTCTGGTTTTTAAAATCCCAAATTTAGAATTTAATCCTGTAAGGAATGTTGCTAATCCCAAGCATGCCTCTTGAATACTGCCTTCTGAGCATATGGGATATGGTTATCAGTTAATCTTAAAATATAATGAGGAATTGGGGCCAGTGCTATGGCAAAGTGGGTGAAGTCACTGCCTGCAGTGCCGGCATCCCCTATGGGTGCTAGTTCGAGACCTGGCTGCTCCACTTCCGATCCAGCTCTCTGCTATGGCCTGGGAAAGCAGTAGAAGATGGCTCAAGTGCTTGGGCCCCTGCACTCACATGGGAGACCCAGAAGAAGCTCCTGGCTTTGGATCGGCGTAGCTCTGGCCACTGCGGCCATATAGAGAGTGAACCAGTGGATGGAAGACCTCTCTCTCTCTCTCTCTCTCTGCCTCTCCTTCTCTCTCTGTGTAACTCTTTCAAGTAAATAAATGAATCTTTAAAAAAATACAAAGTGAGGAAGAAAACCATTATATAATACTATAGTGCTCACAATAATGAACCCTAAACTTACTGTTGGGCTACCACATCAATCCTATCACTTACTTCACCAGACAACGAAGAGCTGACTGTGGCCACTACCTTTCATGCAAATGCACTTTAGACAAATATGCGTCGGTTCCCCTACTTTCTTTAGTTTTATAATGCCCAAGTTTTCTGTATCGTAACTCCATGTATTTTTCTTCCCAAATCTTTTTCCCCTTTGCCTGACCAACAGTGAAGCACACTGACTGGACCTGCACAGCACCCGCCTTCTGCTTTCCTGATAGAAGGTGGTGGGAGAGCTCTGGGTAACGTAGCCCCGTCCACCTACCTTGGCTCTGCCCGTGCTCTGCAGAATGTGCACTAAGGCACAAGCCAGCTCCTCTTTATTCCTCACGCTAATTACTGGCTCAAGGACAGAGCACAGCATGGTGTAGTTGCTGGTGACAAATTCTGCAAATTCTTTGTATTGCTCCATAGGCAGAATGGTGATGGTTTGGAAACGCGATTTAATCCGAATAGAAGGCCCTCCGGTCTTTCCTTTGTTGGGTGTAGGCGTACTCACTGGATACCACTTTTCTACAAATTGGCGACCAGTCACACTGGCAGTGGGGATGTTCACTAGCCCTACATAATTATTCTTGTCCTTTTTTTTCTTTTTTTCCACATCCTTGTAAATGTGAACCGTGATGCTATGAAGAGGTGGAAGGCTGTAGAATTCAAAATGTTCGCCCCAAAAAATATTGTCTGCTTTGGTCTTGCTGGTTGTACGAGCAAAGAGGGTATCATCAAGGCACAGTTCACAGAAATATTTCTTTTTAGGGGCAAGGTCCTTGGCTTCAATGATCCATAAACGGAGAACATTTTCAGCTCGTCTGCAGTTGTCCTTTAAAGAGAAAATAAAGCTGAATTTGAGAGATGATGCCCCAAAAAGAACAGCTTCCTCTTAGAATGGGTGATGTGGATTATGAACTCTACTGTACATAATCAAAGGAATAGCTATCTCATCATTTAGAATAATAGCAAGCTCTAAACAAGAATGCTTCAGAGTCTTAGAGAACCATATGTACTCTGTTTTACTTGAGTTAAAAAAAAATAGCTTGTAAAGGTAAGTTCTCATAGAGCTAGCCGAGGGGCAATGAGACTGAGCTCTGCAGAAAAAAAAAGCGGCAAGTAGCTGAGAAACTGGGTTCCAGTCCATTTCCGTCAAGTACTAACTTGCGACTCGGGCAGGCACAGGACTCTGCTGAATCTTTAACCCACACTTGTAAAACTATGGTAGTAACACCTGCAAGGTTATTTTTGATATAAAAGGGCACAACAGGCATTGTGCTTTAACTGTAAAGTGCTATAACAATTCAAGTACTCTTACTACATATACCTTCCATTGATTTACTGCTTCCAAAGTGATACATTTTTTGGACCCCCAAAGCCACTCCTACCTTATTTGGTTGAACTGTCCTGCGAAGGTTTTCCATCCACTTATCTCTCTCTGAAGCAGAGTTACAGCTGAAGCATTTACTTCCACTTAAGTAGGTAACCTTCAACAAAAAGTTTAGAGATACGGAAAAGGAAACATGAGATTTGAGGGCTCTATCTTTTTAGCTTAGGACATGCTATGAATCCAATTATATTTCATGAAACTAAGTGATACTGGCGAGGTTTCTGCTATCTATTTCTAGATCTACATCTGACTTCTGCTTTGTTGTCTAGGTAGCATCCAAGATGAGAACAAAGGCCATTTAGAAATCAGCTGAGGAACCTAAAACTGGCCTATGGTTCAGGAAAATCAGTTACAAACCTTTCAGGCCACCTCTTAAATTACCTGCAAATGAACATGCTTGATTCTGTGTGAGTTAATAAAAAATAACTAAAAGAGGAAGAGTTTCTGAAATAGCTTATCAGATTTCTGCTTTTATTCTAGCATTATTCAAGGGTACAAAATAACACTGAAGAGTTACCAGTATTGAATTGCTGTCTTTAGAACCCATTTCTTCTCCACTAGGCAATCAGTCTCTTTAAATGCCAATCATTTATTAGGTTAGCCTGACCACTGTTACCAGTGCCCTTTTAAAATGAAACACGTTATCTAAATGCCTAGCATCTAACACTGGGCTTGATATATAGCCTATGAAACTAAGTCCCACAAATAAGGAAAACTTCAAGTGATTTTTATGAAAAAGAACAGCAATACATGACTTGTGTAACTTGCTGGTGTTCGCTCACATATTAGCTCAATCTCAGGCCATAACCTAGTAGGGCCTGATTATATGCTCTGTGCAACATAGCAGTTTAAGAGGCTAGTGAGTATTTGTAATGTGGGAAGTCCAAGTTGATATGTGCTTTGCTGTAATGTATAACATGCATATCAGAGTTTGGAGATTCAGTACAAAAAGAATGTAAAATATCTCATTGCTAATTTTTATATTACACATTGAAATGACAGTAGTTAAATTAAAAAACAAAACTTAAAATTGCATACACGGGGGCCAGTGCTATGGCATAGTGGATAAAACCACCGCCTACGGCACCAGCATCCCATATGGGCGCTGGTTCTGGTCCTGGCTGCTCCACTTTTTTTTTTTTTTTTTTTGACAGGCAGAGTTAGAGAGAGACAGAGACAGAGAGAAAGGTCTAACTTTTTCCGTTGGTTCAACCCCCAAGTGGCTGCTACGGTCGGTATGCTGTGCTGATCCGAAGCCAGGAGCCAGGTGTTTCCTCCTGGTCTCCCATGGGGTGCAGGGCCCAAGCACCTGGGCCATCCTCCACTGCACTCCCTGGCCACAGCAGAGAGCTGGACTGGAAGAGGAGCAACCGGGACAGAATCCGGCGCCCCACCGGGACTAGAACCCGGGGTGCCAGCGCCGCAGGCGGAGGATTAGCCTAGTGAGCCTTGGCGCTGACCCCGGCTGCTCCTCCTCCGATCCAACTCTCTGCTATGGCCTGGGAAAGCAGTAGAAGATGGCCCAAGTCCTGGGGCCCCTGCACCCATGTGGGAGACCCGGAAGAAACTCCTGGCTTCGGATCCGCGCAGCCCCACCCACTGCGGCCAACTGGGGAGTGAACCAGCAGATGGAAGACCTCTCTCTCTCTTTCTCTCTCTCTCTGCCTTTCCTTCTCTCTCTGTGTAACTCCGACTTCCAAAAAAACAAATAAATAAATCTTTAAAAAAATTGCCTACATGCCAAGCATTATATTTCTACTGGATAGCACTGGTCCTAAGAGTAAAGACCAAACATCCTTCAGCTTCAGCAACATTTGGCAATGAACTCATTACTAGCCACTTAATAAGGTCTTGTTAATTAATCCAATCCTAACTCTAATAATTATATGCAGTAAAATTATACATAATTTTAGAATGTAATTTGTAAATAATTAATTGTATACATTTAATTGGGGAGGAAGAAATTCTTATAAAAGTGATAGTCATGGGACCGGTGCTGTGGGGCAGTAGGTTAACCCTCCACTTGTGGCGCCAGCATCCCATATGGGCACTGGTTCTAGTCCTGGCTGCTCCTCTACTGATCCAGCTCTCTGCTGTAGCCTGGGAAAGCAGTGAAAGATGGCTCAAGGGCTTGGGCCCGTGTACCCACAAGGGAGACCCAGAGGAAGTGCCTGGCTTCAGAGAGGCCCAGCTCTGGCTGCTGCGACCATTTGGGGAATGGTCCAGCGGAAGGAGGACTTTCTCTCTGTCTCTCCCTCTCACTGTCTCTCTCAAATAAATAAATAAAATCTTAATAAAAAAGTGACAGTCATGATTTTGTGGCAATGGGCAATTTGTTCACTCAAGAAATAGGCACGTGTGATGCAGATGCAAAGAGATTACAAAAATGAATAACACCTGGTTCCAGATCTCTAAGTGCTCATACTGAAGTTAGAAAAACTTTGATTTGGGTCATCTTCCATTCATAAAACAAATTAAAATCGGGAATTCAGGATTTCAGGAAAAAAAATAATAACACAGTGGGTGACACCCTGATCAATACTAAAAAACTAATACAGTAATTTAATAAGTTACTGTCAGTCTTGTGATCTCTGCTGGGAATGAATGTACTAGGTATCCAATTTTTTTTTTTTAATTTTGATGATGTCTTGTTTATTTTTTCCTTTTTTTTTTTTTACGGGCAGAGTGGACAGTGAGAGAGAGAGACAGAGAGAAAGGTCTTCTGTTGCCGTTGGTTCACCCTCCAATGGCCGCCACGGCCGGCGCGCTGCAGCCGGTGCACCGCGCTGATCTGAAGGCAGGAACCAGGTGCTTCTCCTGGTCTCCCATGGGGTGCAGGGCCCAAGCACTTGGGCCATCCTCCACTGCACTCCCTGGCCACAGCAGAGAGCTGGCCTGGAAGAGGGGCAACCGGGACAGAATCCGGTGCCGCGACTGGGACTAGAACCCGGTGTGCCGGCACCGCTAGGTGGAGGATTAGCCTATTGAGCCGCGGCGCCGGCCTAGTATCCAATTTTTTTTTTTTCCTGAAAGCAGACAAGACCAAAAGAAGTGAGATGGTATAATTAATCATTTTAATTACAAGTATAATTAGGTTAATAGATTTCCAAGGTTTTCCCTTTAGATAGGTAATTTTCATCAAGTAAAAACCAGGTAAGATAATCAAATAATCTATACCACAGTAATGAAACCACAAAATTACTAGATAGAAAAATCTTGTCAATTAATTACTCTTCTTCTTACACTTTTTCTCCCCCTTTTTTTTTCTTACCTCAAAGCAGAAGTCTTGTCCGAGGATGCTACTATGGAGAGGTTTCACTGATACAGGCTCCCCTCTACCAAGATCCAGACATTCTACTGCACTGCACGGGCTCAGCAAGGATTCATGGGAACGGGACTCTTTCAGTTTGGGCAGCCCACGAGACCTATAAGTAGAGAAAGACAGTTAAGATGCAGTAGGCTTGGCTAACAAGGAAAAGAAGGTCAGATGCACAAATGTCTAAAGGAGGAAGAAATTAATCATTGATCTATAATAAGAGTAATCACATTCATATGGCACAAATAAATTATACAAGTGTCTGTGTACACAATACATATAAATGTGAGTGCACGCACATACATCTTTTTTCAATCAAGTATAGAAACATACCATAATTTTACCAGTCTCAAGGGAACTGAAGGCTCTACCACAGACATTGTTTTTATTCTCATTCTGATCATTGAAAAGGGAAAAATATGTACTGCTCAAGGTTAGCTTATATACTCTTTTATGCAAACGTATTGTCACACTACAGCTTTATCCTGTTCTATCACTGACAAAATAGTAGTGGCTGAATCCTCATTTTGTTTCTTTCTGTCTTGGCAGAATAAACATACACACATACAGAGTCAAAGGCAAACTTTTTCAAACCAGATCCTGCCTTTCAAAAGGCCTAATTTCCATCTCAATACAGGTTCTCAACAGTTTTACTTTTATCTGTGCTTTACTGTATAAATATGAATAAAGAGTAGAATGCCTCCAGGAACCCTCCCACCAAGAAAAAATAATGCCAAACTCTCAGGGAGAACAACAGGTCTTTGTTAGCACTGTTGGGGCATCCCGGCTGATTTGGTTTCCTAGTTGTTTTAAAAAGAATGCTCAGAATCACGACTCCTGTCACTACAGGAGCCACGAGTTCACCTGCCTTCCTCTTGAAACAATTAATGGACTCAAACATTGTGCAGCACAATATTCTTGACTCTAGAACTGGATGACCATGCAGTTTTAGGCAATAATTACAGTGTTTATTGACTGAAATACGAGAGTTAATTACATATTTCAAGTAGAAGTACTTAGTAATAAGGATAAAGAGAAATGCCCGTGTAAAGACATTTGTTTTTGTAAATCACATTAAATAAGCAGCCTCATTCATTTCCCTGAAATAACCATGTTAACACTAAAAGGAACGGAAATACTTAATGCCAGAGTAGCTTTTAGTTAAATTACAAAGTAATAAGACATAGGAAACTAGCACTCCAGGCTGCCACAGCCCTTCTGTCTCCACTCTAACATTGTTTACTCAAACTCCATCAAATAAAAAACATCTTAAGCAGTAAGGATTTGAGTCCATTCTTTATGCACCCCCCCACAAGACACACACAATCAACTGCCATTTCAAGGTTAGGCTGAAAAGATGTGTGTCGTGATATTCATTTACTTGGAAAGTAAGAAGAGCAATATTTATATTTCCCGCTAATGATATAAAGTATGCACAAAAGGGAAAACGCTACCTAACGTCTTGTCATAAAAATACAACAGCTCCCATTTATTTCCCTTTGTTTTACTGGATCAGACAATGGCACGTTGCATATCACCATTACAGCATATCAAGCACAAATAACTATAACCTACAGCTAAAATACTTTTTATCTTAACCTTATTATCATAAACCTTTCCCAACACAATGCACAGGAAGCTTAGGTGAGGCGATGGGACACTGGCATTTTCATAAATACAACAAATCTAGTCCCCCCCCTCCCCTCCCCCCACCACACCAAGGAGTTGCTGAGGGGAGAGCGCGCTCACACTCTGGGTTGAGTCCTCAACAGGAAAGATCAAGCTATATTTAAAACAGAAGGAGGGATGACAACAGGCCCACTTTTATTTTTTAAATTCTCTAGGACCATTTTTTAAAACAGAAATTAATTTTATTTCAAGCAAAATAAATGTCTACCTACATGAAGCAACTGTACAGCCACTTGGCAGTGCAACCCCAAATCATGGCGGTGCCCCACGTGCCGGTGCAGCGAGCCCCTTTCTGAGCTACATCTCGGAAAACAACTCTGTTTAGAAGACGGCAACCAATGGAAGGCAGTTTCGCTGTTGCCTGCCGTTAGTGATGACATCTTTGGATGAATGCTTTCCAGGCGTTATCGCAAGTCTTCCACAGAAGCAGAACACAAACACACACAGCACGAGAAGTCATCTTGATCCGCAGGCTGCAGGAGAGGGAACGGTCCTCCTCCCCCTTCAGCCTGCCTTAGCCCTCAGGTGACACAAACAAGGTTCCCGGCTCTAGGCTCTAGGCTCGGCCTGTTGCCATGGTGCTACACCTGTAAGGAGATTAGAGCTGGAAGGCAGCAGGGAGACGCCAGGGCCCAGGGAGCACCCTCTGCCAGGTGGCAAAGGTGACCCCTGCAGGACTGAGCGGGACGAATGGGGAGGACCCCACCGGTTTCCAGTAACAAGTCTGCAGTCAAAGGCTACAGAAAGGAAACGGAGGCAGCTCTGGGTGCGGAGAATCTCCTACGAAAAACCCCGCCAGAGGCCAGCTTCAGCTTGCTTCATACATGATTCCTACTTCCACATCCCCTCTTGTTGTACTAGTTTCTTCTCACATGGGTTCTGTTTCCTTTGCACTGCTCACCCTAGTTTAATGCTTCTGGGTATTATTTTACATGAACTTACTTGGGTTACCGATTTTTTTTTTCTCTTAGAAAAAGTTGGATGAAGTAATTTTTTCACTGCATTTCCAATGCTGAACAAATTTCACTCTGATACTCAGGTCTAACTCCCCCGTGCAGCCATAAATGGAGAGCACAAGCAAGCTCTCTGGAATTACAACCTCATACTATTCTAGCTACTGAAAGTCAATTACGAATACGTAATGCAGACCTGCCAGTTGTCCAGCACTTGCATGTATGTTCTACACGAACTGAAGAAGAAAGGCACAGCCCGCTCAACATCACTACTGAGTAAGTAAGCGAGTCCTCCTATACCGGGAAGACAGCGTCTCTGAGAAGGCAGAAGTAATTCCCAGAGAAGCAAGATCACAGTAAACAGGAAGATCAAATGGCCGGGTAATGGGGGAGGCACATCTGTATGAATATTTCGACATACAAGCATTAGTCGCCCCAAGTTCCCTCTAGAGCAGGTTCATCTGCTCTTGTATCTTCATAGGAATTGATTTTTCTGAGATACACTAACTACAGAGTTTTAGCAGCTCTCTGTGGCCACCAGTCTACTCCTCTAATGGAAAGAAGAATGTGGATTTGTTGAGAGGGTAACGATTTTAAAACAACTTTTCCCGGTTCAATCTGAAAATGGCCTTCATCAAGGAACCTAACTCTGCCTCTCAAGCGGACATTGTGAATCACTTGAGACTGGACACATTCCCAATCACTCCCAAGTGACTCAAGGCTCCAATATGACTCTCTCCCTCCCTACCTCCCTCCTTCTTTTTAAAGATTTATTTATTTATTTGAAAGGCAGAATTACAGAGACAGAGAGAGAGGTATCCATCTACTGGTTCACTCCCTAGATGGCTGCAATGGTCAGCGCCGCACCAGACTGAAGCCAGGAGCCAGGAGCTTTTTCCAGGCCTCCCATGTGGGTGCAAGAGCCCAAGCGCCTGGGCCATCTTCCATTGCTTTCCCAGGTGCATTGGCAGGGATCTGGATCGGAAGTGGAGCAGCCCTGGGCCCATATGGATGGCAGCGTTGCAGGCCACGGCTTTATCAGCTATGCCACAGTGCCTGCCCTCTGCCACTACCTCTTGATTCCATTGGGAAATTGCTTCCCATTGGCAATTTTACTTCGAAGGAAGAACACCATATTCTTTACATTTTTTTGTTTCAAGGTCAGCAGACAATCTGCGTATCTGTGTAAACTTCAAGACCTAGCTAGCTGGGAGGTAAGGGTTAACAATCTAATTGCCTCGTGGTTGAAGAATACCCGCTGCTTCTGACCTATTTAAGAGATAAACTACAAGGCAGGAGAGGCTTTCAGCTACTCAGCACAGCCCAGGAGTATTATCTCCCTTTGACCCTTATCCCTATCTGGAATCAGTCTTGCAAGAGAAACAGGGAGGGCTGGGGGTGGGGAACCAGCAACCACAACAGCAGACACCAAGGAAGGCAGGAAAAAAGAGAAAAGTAAAAGAACTCTGATTAGCGCAATTTCAAGAAAAGCACAGCTGGAATTTCTCAGCTTAACCATCCAATTTTTTTTTTTTTAAAGCCACATTTCCCCATAGCGTCAATGATGCCTAGATGTGCTAGCTCAATCTGCCATATGTTTGCAGATTCAGATCCAAATTTAGGAACTGGGAAACTTTTAATTAAAAATGCTTATTGCCACACAAAATCCCGGACTTTCGTGCAGGTGAGTTTCTGCTTGGCTTGGCAGTTATGCTTCCTAGATGGCCTCACTGAATTCTTAAAGAGACAGCTCAGCCAGTGGCTGTGGTAGGACACCCAGTGTGCATTCCTAGGGTGTTCACTTTGACTGAAAGCTTCCCACGTATTAATGAACAAAATTCAGTATCCCAAGTTTACATAACATCTAATTTGTCTTTTTTTTTTTAAATTGCTTCTGAGATCTCACTTTAGGAAAAATGTAGCTTTACCTGCTCCCAAGATTTTACTGTTTTCCAGTCGAGTACGTTGTGAAAATATCAATCCACATTTTCTGTTTGAAAGCACAGTTCCTTTCCTGCATTCTAACTGTAAAGGTTTCCCTCCCTGGATTACAGAAGAACCAGAGTTCTACTCCTGTGCTAAAAACGCGTCCTCCCCCGAGGATCTGAGGATCCTGCCGGCACTACTGTGCTGGTTTACCCGCCTCAGATAATGTGCCCCCCCCCCCCCCCGCTTATATTTACTCACTGGCTTTTACATTAGTTCAAAAATACACAGCACACAACCACTCGCACTGAAAAGCTATTCATGGAAACACACCCTGCAGATCTTCCTTCCCCGCCGTCAGCCTCCAGACAGGATGCTCTAATGAGGCCAGCTGCTAAGGATAAAGAAAGCTAATTGTCAACCTGACTTCCATTTTACACCAACAAACTCAGGGTAAGGAATTCTATCATCACAGACAAAAATGATACCCTCATCTACTCTGGTGCAGGTATGAGGGTACTTCCAAAAAGTCCATGGGAAA